ATGTAAAAGTTAAATGTGTATATGAAGAAGCTATTTGTTTGTTTTGAAAAGCGTGAAATCTAAAGATATTTCACATTGAATCCCTTTATAGGCACATAAGGTCTCAGAAACAAATAAATTTTTCACTTTGCATAAATGCAAATATAAGTTTTTGTATCATTTGAATAATGGTTTTAAGTCATGTTAAATTCTAATCATTTGCAGAAAGTAGCGCTGAATGTGGCATTATTTGTCAAAGAATTGGCAAAATGTAAGTAGTATTTTGACTTCCACACAAATGACTTAATCATTTTATATGTACTTACTGCCAAGTTAAAGTTATGGGCCGATAAGTATCTTTTCTGGAAACTTCAACAAGTTATCAAAATAAAAAGCTTTTGGAAAATAAGAATAAAAACTTTTTTGGAGCATAAAGGGCCTTTAATAAAACGCGTACACAGGTGAAATATAGTTTAATACATGTATGTTGGACACGAAAAATAAACATATTTTCTATTCATTTCATTCTTTGGAAACCGTATAAAGTGTGATTATTTTCTGTACCTGTCTAGATTAATGAATGACAAGATGTATAATTTCTTCAGATTTATCGTCACAGTGTTGAGATACGCAAAAGGATATTCCGTTAACCCACTTAAGATTATATTCGTTTATATTCCGTGTGGGTATTTTCTAACATGATTCATATCACGTGGGATATATGTTAAGTTCGTAGACTATGGTTATTATAGTTCTCGTATTCAGAAAAATCCGTAGGTTTATGCTACAATCCACGCGCAACACTTCTATACGTGTTCCTACACATATGGCGATATCCACTCCCCTGTAAATCGTCGAATACCCACGGTTGATTACCATGTAACTTAACATGTAATGGCTGATAAATGTAAATGGTTCGGCCGTGGGTAGCCAACGATGTCCTCTGTACTAACAACAAAGTAAGATCAGGTCAAGTAGAGTGCCCAAGGAGTCGAAATTAATTGATAATAAATTTCACGATTTGATCTCCTTACTGCTTGTTCACTTTCTGTAACTAAAGATAGAACAATAAAAATAGAACTTTGCTTAATTCTTCATAAACACTACTGTTATGACACTTTAAAATGTACACATTCGCGTTTTTGTTTAGTTAGTTTTTTGATAAAGATGCTCCTGGATGACGAATCTCATTTGAATTTTATTTTCATTGAATATTTGGTAAAATTAACTGGATCAGTAGAAAATCTTAGTAAACGGTAAAAAATGCCAAAAATTGAAGTATATACTGAATTTTTCGTAAACGCTGATATCATTTCTTTTTCCTCGGTAGACAATCATGTTTTTGTTCAATGCATAATTTGTCAAATTCACTTAATAGTAGAACATATTTGCAAATGTCGACTAAGGAATGTCAACCGCCTTAGTTCCGCACCTTTTCTCCATCAATGTTGAAATAGTTGAACTGACATTTTTACTAACCTTTTAGTGTCCTGGAAAATGAAATAAATAACCAATAATTGGGTATTAGTCCCAACTCTCGGGCAATCGGTTCCATCGGGAACACCCAAAGCTTGGTCCCATTGGAACCGATCACCCTCGGGTTATGATTTCCCTGTCCTCTATCCAACCCAATGATTCTATATTCTTATTAGGAGCTTTCTTATAATTCACAGTAACGAAGCTGTATGCCTACCTTAAGTGTTTCTTTTCCTGATTTGTTCTTACTTGTTCGAGATAGTAACTCATGCTTGAATGTAAAGTATATCATGTATGACATTATTTATCTCCTATCAAGAACAAAGTACTGTAAGATAGACAAGTGTATGTGACATTCGTTTCCTCTTATCCAATAAAAAATTCTGTTTTATTTTTTTCCCGCCAATTATTTTCTATTTTACTTCTTTCTAAAGCCGATGCTTGGGCACTTTCCAGTTCCGTCCGTGAACAGGCTAAGTCAAACAGAGCCTGCAACATGTTTAGGTTTTGGGCGTTCCTTTTTTATCTTAATTATTCTTAATCGATTTCGTTCTTAATAATCTTACTAATTTTTGATGGATTCTTTAACCTTTTACTTGCTGGTTTTTTTTCATCATACCTTCGCTGTCATCCTACATAACCCGTTTTTCTGGATAGTTAACCAGTAATTATCAAATTTTCCGTAATTGAGCGACATTTGACCAATGGTAAGAGACAAATGTCCATTAAACTGTATGACCAATATCAATCGTCACGGAGAGAAATTACGTCTTACCCGAGGACCGAACAAGCCACCCCTTGATTTACTTATCTATGGTGGCTGATTTGTGCCATTTGTGTTTTCTCCCCGCGACCTCGCCAAGCGAAAAGTCGAGAATTAAGTTAAAACGGCGGGGTTGCGGGATGAAAACTCGCTAATAAGCGGAGGCGCGGGGCAAAGTTTAAGAAATAAAGACCCCGCCGTTTTATTTCTTTAATCTAACTTCGAGCTCCCGCGGGGTGAAATTTTATTTATTAAACTTCGCCCCGCGCCCTCGCTAATTAGCGTGTTTTCGCTGCGGGCCCACGACATTTTAACATGTCAATGATCGACTTTTCGCTTGGCGGGGCCGCGGGACGAAAACACGCTTATAAGTTTTATTTATTTAATATCGCCCCGCGACAACACTAATTAGCGTGTTTTCGTCCCGCAACCCCGCCAAGCGAAAAGTCGATAATTAACTAAACGATCCTAAATCTCGCCCCGCGCCTCCGCGGAGCGAAGTTTTATTTATTAAACTTCGTCCCGCGCCCTCTCTAATAAGCGTGTTTTCGCTGTGCGCCCCCGCCATTTTAACTCTTAATATGATAAATATATATCATCATCATCATCATCATCATCATCATCATCATTATTATTATTATTATTATTATTATTATTACAGATTTTGCATTATTTATCACCTTATTTCTACTGCGTGACTAACGTTGTCAGGACCTTTTGTGTATGTTTGGTCATTTTCGTAGATCTTTTCAACTTGAAAATCTTTTCTTTGTTCCCTTGGCAATATTTACTTTTAATATTTTAAAACTAGCATGAATCTTGAGGCATACTGCTTTAAGGACATAGAAACAACCTGTTATCAAATGCTTCCTTAACTTTTCAATAATTTACTGGCACTTTAATTGAACTTCAAAAGTAGAAAATACGTCATGGAGCAGATCATACATGACAATAGAGAGCTGCCCTTGAAATTTAATCGAAAAATAAGCGTCTTATATTACATTACCAAGGCTTTAATACCCGTCCTTTTACCAACTAATTTTACTGTTACTGATTGTTGTATTAACTTAAAAGTTATAACATTCATTAAAATTCAAGTCCGTGCTCAAAAATGATCACATTTCAGTCAATCTGCCATTTTATAGGTGGCGCTACTAATGCAAAGTATCCTATTGTTTGGCAATATTGACCTGACAAATTTAAATATTCAATGACCTTTTGTCGGTAATTGTTGGATTCCGAAGTTAATCCTACGGATTTTAAAGTATGGCATAACGGTAAATGTCCATGGTTTATGTATAATTTAAAGTTACCGACAACACACTTGTAAAACTACCCTCAGTGATAAAAATAGTTTGTTGAGGATTCAAACTTGCAATGCTATGCTATCATTCTTACCACTAGGCCATTGGAAATTAAGTGTCAGATAAAGACTCGCGAACTGTCCTATTTTAAAATATACATGTATTAGTAAACATTGTAAATTACGGAAACTAACGAAAAAACTTCCGAAAATTAATATGTCTAAGGTCAATATTGTCAAACAATACACTAAATAAATTCACTGGTGAAATATATACGGTCGCTGTCATATTTGGAGAGAGTATTAAAGGGTAAGTTTATGGGTTTGTTTTTTCTTTTTTTGGGGGGGGGTAATTTTTCATTTCTTATATATTAGTCGATCAAGTTTGAAGTTTCATAAAAAAGTGTGCAATTGTTCTATTGCTGCAGGTTTACCAGTGATAATATTTTTATTTGACACTTTTTGATCTGAAATTTACAAACAAGATCTACAAATAAATATTTAATAAAAGTTATAGACAGCTTTTATAATCTTTAAAACATGGCCAACAACTGATCTATAATAAGATCTTTGGTAAAGGAGATACTATACTCGCTAATGGAGCTCCGCTGAGGTCAGGAGCCTGAAACATAAAACTTTAAATTTTTACATAGATCGTGCAAAGGATCAAAAAAATATTCAAAATTGAAATGAATGTCGATTTTTTACGGCCCATAGTCCAATTTGAGTGAAAAGTGTTGTAACGCTTTTCATTTTTGGGGTCATTTTACAAGATAAAAAATATTAGAGTGGTAAAAAAACAGGGAGAGATGAAAAATATTTTACAAGTTACTGGTCCAGACATACATCAAAATTAATAGTATAGTATTAAAAACAACTCGGAACACATATTTTCAGTGCCATCCCTTTAATTTACCATTTAAACCATCTAACTTAAACTGACTAAATAGTCGACGAAATACTCATTTTGCATTTCTATTTCAATAAATTTCACATTTATAAGCGAATAAATACAACAATTCAAAACATTGTCCTTTTTTATAAAAACACATTCAGTTCGACCACAGCTGAACGCTTCTTCTGTTCTGTTATGTTATGTTCGGCAATACAACTGAACCCATTGTTCATAATGTCATTATATAATTGAGATTGATTTTCGATACGGAGTTAACATTTTACCAAATGATATTGAAACCAATTGACGCCACATTTGTAAATGATTTGAGTACAACCAAGAAAGGAAGTGTTGCATATGGTTAAATTAAAAACAGTCATACGAAAATATTTTGTAATAAGTTTGTACAAGATATTATCATGACAAAAATGTTAATGTATAGCGAGATTTATAAGATTGAAATAAATAAAAACGTGAAAATCTGGGACATTGTAACATGAATATTATATTTCAAATATGCTTTTGAAATTTTAACATCGGTCAATAATGTAGATTGTTTTACTCTTTATTTGATTTTTAAACAGGAAGTTACCACGTAAACAGTATGTATATATGTATCATTCAATAATACTTTAATGCAAAAGTAAATGTGTTTCTATTTAACGGGTATTTATTCACGTGATTTTCTTTGAAGTTCAGTAAGCAGATTAAACGATTCTATTAAATTTCACAGCAGGTGTACTAAAGTGTCATATTTATTTATCAATTTATGATGTATAAAGCTATATATTTGCTGCCAATTTTGTTGTTTAAATTTTAAAAGTTAAGTCGCAAAATGCATGTATGAAAGAAATATGAAGTATATTTCCTGAAAAGCTTAGGGCGCATGTGCGAAATCATTTTGTAAACGATTGAAACCCTAATTGAAATAGCAGAATAATATTTTATTCCGGAACATTTTATTCTGTTTATATATAATATAAATGTGTGTTAAATAACAAAAGTATGTTATGTTACAACACTTTCAAGAATCTACCATAACATGGAAACAATGTGATTTTACCATAATTGTTTCTATACTTAATAGACATTTGAAAAACGTTTCATTAGTTATACACTTTAATAATATACTTTCACGATTTGTTGTTGCATATTTAAGGTAAATCACGTCTTAGTATCTTAAGCTGCACATTATTTAGTATCTTAAGTTGAACATTATTGGCATATCAGGTCTTAGTATCTTAAGTTGCACATAAATGACATATTCGTATGGTATCTTATGTTGCAAGTTGCACATTATTGACAAATCAAGTCTTGGTATCTTAAGTTGCACATTAATGGCATATCACGTGATAGTATCTTAAGTTGCACATCAATGGCATATCACGTGATAGTATCTTAAGTTGCACATTAATTGAATATCACGTGATAGTATCTTAAGTTGCACATTGATGGCATATCACGTGATAGTATCTTAAGTTGCACATTAATGGCAAACCACGTCCTGGTATCATAAGTTGCACATTAATGGCATACCACATCTTAGTATCTTAAGTTGCACATTAATGGCATATCACGTCTTAGTATCTTAAGTTGCACATTGATGGCATATCACGTCTTAGTATCTTAAGTTGTACATTAATGGCATATCACGTCTTAGTTTCTTAAGTTGCACATTAATGGCATATCACGTCTAAGTATCTTTAGTTGCACATTAATGGTATATCACGTCCTAGTATCTTAAGTTGCACATTGATGGCATATCACGTCTTAGTATCTTATGTTGCATATTGATGGTTTATCACGTCTTAGTATCCTAAGTTGCACATTAATGGTATATCACGTCCTGGTATTTTTAAGTTGCACATTGATGGCATATCAAGTCTTAGTATCTTTAGTTGCACATTGATGACATATCACGTCCCAGTATCTTAAGTTGTACATTAATGGCATATCACGTCTTAGTTTCTTAAGTTGCACATTAATGGTATATCACGTCTTAGTATTTTAAGTTGTAGATTGATGGCATATCAAGTCTTAGTATCTTTAGTTGAATAGTTGCACATTGATGGCATATCACGTCTTAGTATCTTAAGTTGCACATTAATGGCAAATAACGTCGTAGTATCTAAAGTTGTATATCGTTTTAAATAATTCATATCATTTCAGCCTATTGTTGCATTATAAGGATATTTATGGTATATTTACAATAAGCACCTGTCAAGTACTAAAACCGTGTATAGCTATCTTGGCATATTTAGCAGTCCATAATGTAGGAACGTTATTAACAACTTGAAAACTGAGTAAGGGTAATTAAGACATTATGTATTATAATTATCTGATACGGTTCGGTTATATGGATAGATAAATGGGCATCCTTTCATCTCTTGAATCAAGGCATATGGCTCGGTTGATAATTCTAGTGACAATTTGATATTTCTAGTATACCGTTAAAAGGAGACACAGGCAAACTTTTTATTTCTTCGTTTTGAATTTTTATTCATTATTCTTTAAATGTCCTCATTATGAATACACTAGGCAGTCACAGGAACAAAACTTTTCTTCTGATAAAAAATGAAATGGTTGTTTCTTAACTTGACCCACGTGGATCAGATTAGAGCGTAAAGATTTCACAACAGTTGTCACAGTGAACTCTGGAAGCAATATTTCTTATTGTGACTTCCAGGGTTTGTTCAAGTAACATGACTAGTTTTAAAACTATTCGGTGAGTCTGTCGGCGTCTAAATTTCGTTCAACATTTATAGATATATTTACGCTTCAAACCCAAAATGTATAGAATTTATACAGACATTCATGCTGGGACTTTTACAAATGACATTTTAGCGTGATATGAGTACATAAGATAATTTTGATATGTACTGTTTATCTATTCAACACAAAATACATGTATGCATGCTTCGTTTCATTTTCATGAATTTACTACAGCAACCATATAGACTAATTTGTGCTACATCATAAAAATAAAGATTTGCTTTAAGAACTATCAACTGGCAGCTGTAGCCTAGTAGATTGAATGTCTGCCTCTCAACCTGTTGATAGTGCGTTCAATCCCTAAACGTGTCACGACCTTGATTCCTCATATGCCACAAGTACTGCTATGTTCTAGGTTGCAAAAGTTGAGAGATGTAATTCACAGTGTAGCTTAGATTAATGTGATTAGAATAAGTTAACAAATCATAGTGCATCAAGTTCATACTCCAGTCCAGTGTTGATTAAATAGAAATATGTTTAGTGAGCAAGCAAGTGTTCGGTTCAAAAAGAAGTCCGTAACGAAGTTGAAACAATGTATAATTTGTTAAATGGAATTATTTCAGACCGTGTTTTAAAAGAATGTTCTTTTTTTACCAAATTATAATCCACTCAACCAAAAGATCATTAATTTATTAATTAATTAATTCATTCATTCATTCATTCATTCAGCGAGCGAGCGAGCCAGCCAGTCAGTTAGTCAGTTCATTTAGTTTCGTTTCATTACCAATTCCATTAATATATTGTCAAAATATAATTATATGTTCTGGTTTTATTTTATTTTTAGATTATTACAACCCAGACACTTGGTGATGACAAAAATTAAGATTTACGTGTTGCTATCGTTGTTAATCATATTAGCGCAAAGTGCTCATGGGTTTCAATTACCAACTAACTATTCAACGGAACTTGAAAGATATTCAGTAATAAGTACAACAAGTACATGTACCGATGGTGGTCCAGAGAAATGCAATACTACCTGTCCGACAAGGACTAGCTTTCCTTCCTTTACGAAAACAATAAAATCGATTTCTTCCAATTGCACTGTATACAATGATTCACCGCCCACACACTCGGATATAGGCAATGGTGGGATCGAATTCAGACCTTCTACAACAGATTGTCCACTGCATGAGTGGAATTTTAATGGAAATAATCCACACTTTACTATAACTATGTGGGTCAAAGTATCAACTAGCATGTGAGTACAAAATTATGTAATTGTTGCATTTTGACGGCATTTTTATTACCTAATTTTAGTATGTTTTTGGTCACATTAGATGTTGTTTCAACTGTGACATCATTATTTGAAGAAAAGATACCAATCGCATCTTTTCGGGGCCTTTCCGTCATACTTCGGATAAGAAGTATTATGAATGAAATAGCCGAGGATTTCCGATTGATCAATATGCGTTTCGCATATTGGAATACTATGCTATAATTTTTACATTCTAATGTATGGCTTTTTTAATTTTTACATTCATATGTAAGGCTTTTGAAATAAAAATGACTTCTAGAATAAAAGCACCGGCATGCTCATTAGATTGGGCAAAAGAGGGGGGGTTTTTTGTTTGTTTGTTTTTTGTGTAAAGTTGTCAAATATACCGAACTTTACTATCACAACATATTTTTTCACTTTATGTGTACGTTATATTTCGAAGTGTAACATTGAAAATCCCTATTACAAATTCAAGAAAGTATAAGAAAACACATTTTACAGAAGCAGTTTGCCTGGTATGTTTTTTCAAAGAAATCATCCAACAAATATACAAAAATTGGACTTTTTATCTTCTTTACGTTTTTTTTATCTTGAACTTATAAAATTTTGGCTCGTTCAACTCTTAAATATATAAATTTTGATAATTTCAGAAATGTATTACGCATTGACAGTGGTCTCAATTTGAGATATTATGCAGTTGGACCTGTTTTTGTCTTACAGACATCATCAAGCAGTAGCAAACATGTGTCGCAAGGATGGAATTTCATCACTTTGAGGGTAACATGATCTGTATTGTTGTTGTTTTGTTTTGTTTTTTTTTGTTTGTTTCTTTTTGTATAGCAATTTATGCTGGAATTTAGAATGAAGCACTGGCAACGTAAACTAATCACTTTGAAACCAGCCTGTATTTGAGTGCTTGAGCCATCAATCAATTTATTGTCTTGGAACTTGGCTTTGATTTAGAAAAAAGACTAGTTTTGTATCTTTCGGACTTAATTCAGCACTGTTTGGTGTGCTTTCATATCTTTTTTAATGTATTTAATTCATTTTGTACGAAAGCCTAATAGTGTCAAATAAAATAAAAAATAAAAATGCAAAGGCGTTATTACGCGAATAAAGGCATTATTACGCGAATCAAAAGGCGTAATTACGCGAATAAAGGCGTTATAACGCGAATCAAAAGGCGTAATAACGCGAATAAAGACGCCTTTATTCGCGTTATAATGCCTTTGATTCGCGTTATTACGCATTTTGATTCGCGTTATAACGCGATTAAAGGCGTTCTATGCCTTTTGATTCGCGTTATAACGCCTTTATTCGCGTTTTTTACGCCTTTTAATTCGCGTTATAACGCCTTTCAATTCGTGTTTTAACGCCTTTATTTGCGTTATAACGCGAAACAAAAGGCGTAATAACGCGAATCAAAAGGCGTAATAACGCGAATAAAGGCGTTATAACGCGAATCAAAAGGCGTAATAACGCGATCCAAAAGGCGTAATAACGCAAAACAAAAGGCGTTACAACGCTAATTTTATACCATATAAATTCCAAACAATGGCCTAGTCATGTAAGAAAGGAAGAACAATGTTGATCTAAATGATTTGATCAAGATGTACATTTTATTTTCAATTCTGTACGGATACGTCCTAAGACCACAGTTGGATTTTTTTAAATCTTTTATTAGGAAATGCTCTCGTCGGATTAGAGGTTACTATCACCCAACTTTAGATACTTTTGGAGACAATGTCTTCTATAATTGTAACTTAACAGAAACACTATCACCCTTCTAAGCATACTTATCAATAATTAAGATACACTTTCACCCTAATGTGATTTACTTATACCTTACGTTTTTTCAAAATCTTGTTACCTATAGCCTATTACCTATGGCGTTATTGGGAACGACATTCACATAATTAGAAGATACTACAGGTTATAAAGTAATTATACAGGACATATCCGTAGATAATTGAACATATGACGCACATATAAGATAAGATAAGATATAAGAAAAGAAAAGAAAAGATAAGAAAAAAATTCATTTACTATAGTGACGTGTTTAAAATCAATGATGTGATACATGTGAATTCAGAGTAACTTTATTTAAGCCTATAAGTCACCAAGTCATCTTATATTGGCAAAAATTAAAGAGTCTTCGTTAGTTTATGACAAATAGTTTGCATTATTACTGTGCAAATGGAATGATAGTTATTGTAAATGTATATAATATTATTCTATACGAGTTTATATCTTGAGCAATAAATTCAGATCAATATTGGTCTTCCTTTCTCGCGTTACTAGGCAATTTGATTAGTATAAATATGGTATTAAATTGGCATTATAATGCGTTTTAATTTGCGTTATTACGCCTTTTGGTTCGCGTTACTACGCCTTTATTCGCGTTACTACGCCTTTTGATTTGCGTTATTACGCCTTTATTCGCGTTATTACGCCTTTTGATTCGCGTTATTACGCCTTTATTCGCGTTATTACGCCTTTTGATTCGCGTTATAACGCCTTTATTCGCGTTATTACGCCTTTTGATTCGCGTTATAACGCCTTTATTCGCGTTATTACGCCTTTTGATTCGCGTTATAACGCCTTTGCATTTTTATTTTTTTTATTTTATTTGACACTATTAGGCTTTCGTAATTTTGTCTTTTGTAGACTTGAAAACATTATTATCATCTATTGGAACATATGTCAAGTGGTTATGTAAGAGCTTCTTTTCAGATCATATTATTTAAAAACTATCTTAAATGTTTGCACAAGTATTGTGCTTAAATTTGATTTTTCAGTTTAAAGACAAATTAAGTTGGTTTGTCAATGGTATACAGATTAAAACGGATGGTCTTTCCTTTACCGCATCATCCCTTTACAGTGTAAAACTCGGACCAGGACAAGGTGATAAATGATTACTCGTATTCGATTCTACAGCTTTTTGAAGTGCTATTTTTCATAAAAATGATAGATATGTTTTTTCTGAAATCTGTTTCAATAATGTAAGACACGATGTTATTGTCAATAATAATCTATCAGATGTGGTAATGGTGTTGGTAGATTTCGCTCCGGGTGACGGCAGTTAGCCACATTGAATTCACCAGAGCACAATTCAACCACCGCATCGTTCCTGGGCAAGCCGTCTACAGTGCGAGTGACCGTAGAAAGGATTACATGATTAATCACAACGAAAACGATCTGCGCCGTCCGGGAATCGAACTCGGGTCGCCCGATTCACAGTTCAACGCTCTACCTATTGAGCTAACCGGACGGCCCGAAATCTATCAAATGTATTGTCTATGGACTTCATTTACTTGACGAATTCTATGCGATCACCGATATAATAGGAGCAGTGCATGCACCTCACGTAGCCATGATAAGAAGTAAATTGTTTTCATTTTTTCTGACAAAGTCGTTCTGAAATCAGATTGACTTCCTGTTAAATCAACAGGAAAGGACTGAACATAAGAAGAATTTTCATTTGTTTTTTAGAATTACAAACAGAAATCAACTAATCTTATTGGTCATTCCAAAAATAATGAAAAGGAAAGTTCTAAATAAAATGTAAACGATAGTTTTAACCATTCTAAGATAGCTCTAAAATAAATTGTAAGGGCTAGTTTTTGCAATTATAAAATTAAATGTAAAGGCTATTTCTCAAATAAAATGTAAAGGAATGGGGATAGTTTTTATACTTTCAGGTTTATTTGTAAATAACTACAAAATTTATAAATTCAAATGTAAAAACTAGTAAATCAATACTATAAAATAAAAGTTGTCTTACTTTGAATCAATACGATATAATTTAATCGCAATAATTACAAATGGGGTTTTCTGAGCAACAAAAAATAATTACATTGTACTCTGTCATTGTTATGCAAACATTGCTAACATTTCTATTTGTATTGAAAACTTCGAAATAACATACGCAAGTTTAAATTCGGCCGGATAATTTTTTTTTAAAGATACTTCTTGTTGTTTGATGGTTACAAGGACAGCTCTCACTTTTGTCTGAACATACTGTGAATTTTTGCCTAATTTCATTTCGCCGAATCTCTCTTACACCGATCAAAGTGTCTAAATAAAATTAAACTAAGGGAATAATTGTAAAACAGAGATTTTATTTGTTTTAATATTACTTTAATTTTTTCAGATTTGACATCAGGCTCCTTAATTATAGTAGATGTTCGCTGGTACTCGGATGTTCTTACAGATAGGTAATCTTTAAAATAATTGTTTTTTTATTGTATTTTAGACTTTTTCTGCCGACAATTTTTTCGTCTCCGAAAGCTTCATAATTGTATTAAAAGATAGTTTAGCGATCAAAAGGTGCAGGGGGTGGTGTGTTATAAACGTTCTTCCATTAAGGTTACAGTGTTAATATTTGGGCATACTTGATTATTCTTGGTTTAACAGATTTAAACAGATGGGCTCTCCTTTACCGCATCATCATCTTACAATAAAAACTGGGGCCAGGACAAGTTGATGAATGATTATTTGATTCTACAACTTTTGAAGTGTTATATTTTCACTTATTTTACTATGAATTTAATATTTTTTGGTTTTTTTTCTTTTTTCAGAGAAATTGATAACCTATACAAAGGGATAGAAGACGATTTTTGCAGGTTAGTGTTGTCTGTATCTTTATAGCTGTGACATTGTCCATGTTATACAGGTCATGTGATATAGGTCATGTGATATTGGCCATGCACAGTTGTGACATTGTCCATGTTATATCCGCCATGTACAGCTGTGTCATTATCAATGTGACACTGTGTCCATGTGATATAGGATATATACAGCTGTGGCATTGTGTATGTAATATACTAGTAGCACATGTACAGTTGTAACATTGTCCATGTGATATAGGCTATGTACAGTTGTGACATTGTCCATGTGATATAGTCCATGTGAAGCCGTGACATTGCCCATGTGATATAGACCATGTGGTATAGGCTATGTACAGCTGTGACATTGCCCATGTGATATAAGCCATGTATATCTTTGACATTGTCCATGTACTATAGGTCATGTACAGATGTGACATTGTGCATGTTATATAGGCCATGTACATCTGTGATACTGTCCATGTACTAAAGGATGTGATATAGTCAATGTGAAGCTGTGACATTGCCCATGTGATATAGACCATGTGATATAAGCTATGTACAGCTGTGACATTGTCCATGTGATATAAGCCATGTAAATCTGTGACATTGTCCATGTACTAAAGGTCATGTACAAATGTGACATTGTTCATGTGATATTGGACATAAACAGCTTTGTCATTGTCCATGTGATATAAGCCATGCACAGCTGTGACATTGTCCATTTGATATAGGCCATATGCAGCTTTGACATTGTCCATGTGATATAAGCCATGTCAACTGTGACATTGTCCATTTGGTATAAGCCACGTACAATTGTAACACTGTCCATATGATATAGGTCAGGTACAGCTGTGACATTACCCATGTGATAAAGGCCATGTACTGCTGTGAATGTCTTGATACTGAAGTGGCTCTGGGCTCTAAACATTGCACTTCCTTCTTGGTCTTGATTTAGTTTCCTTGTTTAATTTTAATATTTTATTCCAACTTTTAGCTGATTTAGTCATTAGAAGTAAATTTATTGATATATTTCTGTACAACATTTAAAAAAGAACAGGTTATGTATTTGATATTTACATTTGCTGTCTTATGTAATTGCTACTGACAATTCAATCGCCAATTAAAATTATCGCCATATTGAAAGAAAGGAAAGAAAACGATTTATAAACAGCAAGTGATGTGTTGTGCCTATTAATTGTTGTTACCTTCGTTTCATTTGCTCTCTTTCCTTTAAGTTTTTTAATACTCAAACGAAAGTTTACACAAGAATTCAAAATGTCAAATCGTGGGATTGTAAAAATGTACAAAACTCAGTAAAACAGAGTCTACAATTTTCATGTTATTTTGTTGTTATTAATGCTTCCGTGAAGGGATCACCCAACTTAACTTAATGCAGTTTTTTTAATTCAGATGCCCACCAACACACCCAAAAGTCATGAAAGATACCCTTCCAATCGAGAACATGAAGTGCACTGATGGTAGCTCGGAGGTCTTGCGTCTTGGTGAAAACGCTCATAATCCTGGATACATGGCTGATGCCACCACAACCACCAAGTGGGTGTCTGGCACCGTAAATGAAGTCAATATAACTCTAACATTGAAGAAACAGTTTCAGGTAAACATCAAAAGACTCATGCATATCTTCACCTAAGTGCAGTAAAGGATTAACTTTTTATATAGTTTAATAGTTAAATAAAATATGCTGTTATGAAGTTTATAATGACGTGCTTGCAAAATATACTTAATAATCGGCAAATGTGGGCTTTTCCAAGCTAATCTCCCGGTACACACCTTTACCGATATAGCTTCACAGTGCACTACCGGTCACAATAGATGCGTTTATTTTACTGTTACTGTAAACGTTTGTTTGTACCCCTGGATTAGCTGTGAAAACCCAAAATATTAAGTCTCTTTTTAAATGTAATTAAGAATAAAATACAACATTTCGCTTTATCTTGCTTCTATTTGATAAATGATACTTGACAGTTTACCAATAATCAAACATTGTCAAACGTTTACCAATGCCTTAGCAGCTTACGTGTGTTTATAGCTTTTATATATACAAATTTGATTAAGTATATCTTACAGATTTTGAAGAAGCCGTCCTTCTGTTTCAAGTGATTAATAATATGAGGTTATTAAACATTTTTGAGTACAATAACAAATTATATTGGACGAGTACACAGCTTTCAAAACAGTATTGGACGAAGCCAAGTCCGATATAGGTTTTACACCTGTGTACGAGTAAAAAAGAATCAGTATTGTTCTCAACAATATATAATGATTTCATTTTTTACACCACCATATTTGACATTTTGACAGTAATATTACTTCAATTACAAAAGGGGTATGATATCGATTTTTAGACTGTCGTAAATGTAACTGAGGCTGGATGGAGTAAAATATGGATTTGATATAGATACTTTGGACTCTGAAAAATGAAAAGGAGCCTTATGAGGTGCGATACGGATTTTAGATATACTTTTTGGACTCTAGAAAAGAAAATGAGGCTAGATGGTGTGTGATATGGATTTGTTATAGACTTTTTGGACATTGGAAATGAAAACGATACTAAATTGATAAGATTGAATGCAATAATGATTTCTTTCGGAACATCACATGGTGAAAACGCTGAACGTTCAGTGGTTATAAATTATAAGGTGTGAAATAAAGCTATGGATATCAATTTGTTTTTATATTCCAGATGAAACGTTTATCACTCGTTGGAATAACGAAGTCACCAGCAAGTGTAAAAGTCATCCTTCTCTTAAATAATGCCGAGCTTCAAGCTATCGAATTAAAGTAAGATATGAAAATTATTACGAAAGAAAAAACCATCACAGTATTATCAAATATATAGTCTAAAGTAGCTCTGGACTGAAACACGCATGGTGTTGTGAATAGTTCGTTTCAAGATTTTTATTCGAAGTCATCTGTGTAACTCTCTTTTTAAATGTTACTAACGAGAGGATAAACTAGATTCGCATTCAAGGTTCAATGGTAACTGCGCCGTATGAACACATCTGCTGATGTTTCTAAATTCACAATTTCACCATTTTGATGTTAAAATGTTAAGTTCTGCTAAAACCGGTGCTAGGGGCGTGAATGGTAGTTTGCATTTACCACTACCGTCCATTTACAGGCTCAATCAAAACGGGCCTGCAACATTTTCAATTTTCCAGTTTTGTTTTACTCTAGGGATTCTGTTATTGTCTATTTTACTTGTTATTTATAGTCTGTCAAGAAACAAAATATGCAGTATAACACAACACTTTTATTATCATTGTTCTGTAGGGGCTGTTTTTGCAGTTTTTTTACTGGAGTGTCTTATGTACATGTAATTCAATTTAAAATGCGGCCTTGTTCTTCTGCTCGGAATCTTTGAAATTGTGATATACTTTTAAACCATTGCATAGTGTAAAAGATTGACGCGTTCAGATTGGCAAAATATAGTTCGTACATTTTATAACATGCAAATTTACACTCCTTCCTATTTCTAGTCACTAGTTCTAACAAAGAATTCAAATTTTTTAATTAAATTTAATGTTTCACCGCTAATAAATTATTTCACATTTTAAAGAAAATGTATCAATAATGTTTCGTACGGACATCTTTCTTACTTTTACACAGATCATATCATTAATGTATGATTATAAGCAGGAAATAACTCAAAACCCTTTTTACATATAGCATTTAACTCCGCTAAAACATTGCTGGGGAGCATGGGAAATATTATTAGAACGATAAACCTTTCATGGTTTTCAAACTTAATACCTAAATGAACATGTAGATCGATGACAGCTCTGGTTGATTCCTTCTTCTCTCTATAAAGTACTTCAACTATGCGGTCGATAGGATATATCCGGAGATTTGGAATGATTGTCACTCATTTTATTACAGTGTTCCTATATTTATCTGGGCCTTTGCGGTTTGTCAGATCTTAAAATTGACTTGTTCTTAAAATGGTGCGGTTTTGGGCACAATTATTTCTGCAGCCTTCGGATTACAAAACATATTCTTAAGTTCGTAGAATTTTAAACAATTCATTTCGTGGTCATATACAAGTATAGGGAAAAAACAAGTCATGTTTCAATACTTAGGATATTTTAAGCAGTCGGGGTTTTAAGATCTGTCATAAATACTTATTGTTTTAGAAAATTAAATTTTCCAAAAATATTATACATGTTTGCATTATGCTGGTATTGATGTTTCGCTTTCTGAAGGAATGGTTTCCCTCACGAGATGTCATCTTTCACAAAGTGAAAGTGTGTTTCATCATTACTGCGATAGAAATTACTGTCGAGTGAGTATTGTCGTTGGTTTCAAACCACTTGCCTCTTACCACTGTGGCTTTTACTCCCTCAACAGACCCTAGGTCTTCATGTTATAACGCTATTGAGCTAGCCTATAGAACATCGGTGATTCTACTGATCAGTTGTCCGCTCGTGGCTGAAGGCACCAGATATCTTCCTCCGCCAGTAATGCTTGAAAATCGTCATATGATCATAACAGTGGCGATGTGACTTAAAAACCTAGAATATATAAAAACTTTCCTCTTACTAAAGAACAATGTCTATCAGATGTTAAGGTACCGTCTCATTAAGCAATTACTTTGTTTCTTAATGCAATTCTTTTTCTTTTGGTTATTATTCAAAGAAACAGTATGCTTATGGTTTATGTTATCTATAAACAATGCCATGAATTGCACAAGTGAGCAAGGTAGGGAATAGCAAAGGTCTTGACCGGAAGAAAAAGAGAATATTCATGCAGCTTTACTTTTCAATTCTGATCTGGGGCGGAGTCAAGTGAAATATGGAAAGCCTTTATATCATCTTGACATACTTACTGCCTTGCTGTATCAAAATGTCTAAATCTTGTAACTTATCCATCTATCCAAATTGTCGTATATCATGGTAAAGTACTGTTCACTAATTTTGGAGAACATGTAGCTAGCACAGTCGGTTGAGCTGCGGAATGGTGTTCTAGCATCTCGGGTTCGAATTCAGGCCAGGCTTTACATTTTCATCACACTGTGACACATGATGTTTGCATATAAACAATTTACGACAACCCTAAATTAAGGAAACTAACAGACGTCAAAGTTCAAATGTTACATTCTTTTTCTTTTCCCCCAAGGCCCATTTAACACATTTTTGTTCATATCTTTACAGTCGGTCTATTTCTTTCCTAAATAACTTACAAGTAATTATCAATTTCTCTGCAAGTGACACATTGGATTAAATATCTAAGTTCAAATACCACGGAGCAATTTTGCCCTGCCCAAGGATTTAACGAGCAACCCCCGGGCTTTATTGAGCCAATCGGACGAACGTTATTTTTTGTAAATAATTGTGGAAATTTCAGGGTGACTGGTGGAAAAGTTTTGTATGATTTTAAGGAAGGATCAATCACTAGTAGAACACAATACCAAAAGATCATAGCTGACAAAGTTATTGTCCAGGCTAAATTCAGTACTAATGACTACCTTTCTGTGAGTGAACTAACTCTCGAAGCTAGGTAAGTACCTCGGTTAATTTATTTACATAATTAACAAGAAACCCAAATATTTGGGTCTGTGTTTTAGAATTTTGAGAGATTTAAATCGCTAAAGACAAAAATAAATGGCTACTAACAATTTAGAGCCTGGTCAAACTGCACGGCTGCATGCTAGCCCGGCTCTTTATTGGTGACCAGAAGGCTATTACGATGAAACCATCAGGCTTCAGCGGGTTAAGGGTTGACGGAAATCCCACCAGACAAATCTCGCCTGTCATATTGTTCCATATTATAAAATATGGTACTTTTTTTGAAAAATAAAATTCTTAACTAAATATCATTTCAAAGAATATATATTGCGAAGTCTTGCATTTCTGGTTAATATGTTATATTTAGTTTGAGATTTTTAATTTTTATAATATTCTTAGATAATTTTCTGTGTTAACATATTATTTTCATTTTTTTAGTTTTTGTCTGAAAAAGACTTGCAAATTAACAATTTGTCTAAAATATTTTGTCCAATGATTTAATGATTGAAGCAAGTTTTATGTCTTTAAAAATATGTGTATTGTTCAGATGTAGTTGTTATGGTAACGATAATGCGTGCAAGATTGTCAAAGATGGCTACACGTGTAGTTGTTTATCGTCATCTCACACAAAAGGGTCATTTTGTGATGTATGTGGAATCGGCTACTATCGCAGTGCTGAACAATTTGTATGTAACAACCCATGTGCATGCAACATGACCGGAAGTTTTGTAGACACTCAATGTGAGGAGGTAACCATTTCTTATTAATCACCTCGGCCTTTTCTGTAAGAATCTCGAACGCAATAGTAAGAATACACAGAACGGAAACGGTATTTCAATCTAACCTACGCTTAGAAATTTAACATATAAACCTATGGTAATTTAATGCAAGAAGTTGTTGACTACATTTATACAAATATATCGGGTACTTTCAATCCGTATTAAGTTTGAGGTTATTATTGAAAATACCGAGATGTTCCGATTGCATTTTTATATCTAATTGAGGTCTACGCTAACAAAGAGTCAAGCTAGGGAAATTTCAACTCTGTCATTTACGGTATTTGATAAATGTTTGGAAATGGAAAATCTTTGGGATTATTTTCTTGTATCTTATATCGCCATCTTGAAGCACACATTTTTAATTTTGTTAAATACACAATGTATTTATCGACCATTTTCTGTTTTATTATTCATTCACTAAAATGTTTTGGAAACTTGATTATAATTATTTTTATATCCCCATACTTTAAACAATATTATTTACATAAGGTTGTTTCTTTTTCGCTACACTTCATGAAGGTTTATCTTCATTCAAAATGCACTTTAAAATCAGTGGCTAAAATTAAATAAAATAGTTCATGAAACAGAAAATGCACTACTAATCAATATTAATCATATTGACATGAACTACTACAATATCTGAAACCTTGCAATGGAAAGGTTGCTCTATACGGCAAAGATTGAAATTTTGCAGGATTGATTTAACTGAACCTGGTCATGAGCTGAAAATGTACTAAGCAGTTATCCATGTTCCCTCACACCGACAAAAGCACAAGTCAACATTTTAGATATGAAAATTTAACTAAAGTTAGAAAAATAATCTGGGCTTATATTTGTGTTTCATAACTTAGTAGATCTGTTCCTTAATAAATAATAAAAAATATTTTGTTAACAGAAGGTAGATGGGCAATGCACCTGTCACAGTAACATTGAAGGTAGACAATGTTCCGTCTGCAAGCACAATACCGCGAACTTTTCTGATAGCGGATGTACAGCATGCGAATGTAATCCTGACGGCATCACTAGCTGTAGTGATGATCTAACCTGTAACTGTAAACAAAACGTAGACATTACGTCTGGTAAATGTGACAAATGTCTGCCTAACTATTATAATATATTTAGTCCTTCCGGTTGTGCTGCCTGCGAATGTGATCTATCCGGCACCAGGGTCGCGGAGCCTTACTGTGAAAGTGGCAGAGGCGAATGCTATTGTAGAGCTAATGTAGAAGGTTGTTGCATGCTTTTTTATTATCAACCTCTTTGTATTATTTGTCACATATCATTTTTGTGCCCCCACTATAGGGGGTCATTTAGATTTACTCTTGTCCGTCCGTCCATCCAGCCGTCCGTTCTCATTTGTGTCGCACGTACCTCAAAATGTATTTGACATAGAGTCATGAAACTTTACAGGAATGTTGGTCATGTGTAGTTGTGTTTGTGTTGCGCTCGTGGATTTATCCAGTATTTCTAGAGTTATTGCCCTTGACTTAGTATACATTTGCAATTTTCAACTTGTTCATACATAGCTCAAAAAGTATTTGACATGTAGGCCTGAAAATTTACAAGAATGTTGGTCAGCACGTGTACTTATGTACCTTGGGTTTGTTTGTGAATTTATTCAGTATTTCTTGCCCTTCGCTTAGTAAAAGATTTGTTTGTTTTCAACTTGTGGCACATGTAGCCTAAATGATATTTGACCTACAGTCATAAGATTGACAAAACAGTTGAGTGTGGGGGCACCCGTTTCCTATGGACACATTTCTAGTTATGCCATGTCCTTATTGATAGATCCCTACTCTGACCTTTCATTTGAATAACAATAGGTTTATCTACAAACATTGACATGTGCTCTTTTGGTAACAAATAGGTTGTGGTGAAATTCTTATAGTATTCACTAATCTGATCATTAAAATTTGAAAAACCAGGGATCATGCATGGTATTCAGTATTTACTAAATAAACCGTGCGTTTGCCAGCTAGAACATGTTGCTACTTTTTGTTTTGCTATGATTTGAATTGTAGGAGTTGACAAGATTTTCTGGAAGACGGACAAAACCCCACACGTCAAAACCCCACACCTCAAAATTTTATACAGTGCCACTCTATAAAAGTAAATGTGTGGGGCTTTTTCCACTCAATAAAATTCATGAGGGGTGCTTTGTCCACTCTATAAATTAAGGGTTTTGGCATGTGGGGTTTTGTCCTACATTCAGATATTCTATATTAAAAAAATTATAACACACCTGCAAAATATTGAATAACGTGTGCGTGTGTGCTCATCCGTTGCATTAATCAGTTGAAGGAGTTTACTAAAAACTTCTCATCTGATTATAAATCATTTCGATAACTAATTTAGAAAAGATGCAATAATTTACAAAAAGTAATATGGTGAAACATAGGCAAATTTCCGCATGAAATTTTGTGTTGACTATGATAACTTGCAATCTTTAGCTGTTAACAAATGCATCAACTCTTGAATAGTATCTGAAGTTTTGAATGTAATAATGTATATATTGGCCGAGATTTTATCCGTGCCAATGAAAACGAATGTTGAAAATGCGGGATCTATTTACGGATAGCCAGTATTTTGGAGTTCGTTATGAAAGTGTAATTTTCTGTACTTTTAACTAAATTAGGACTTAGAAACAAGTTCCTTATAAGCGATAATTCCTTATAACCGTGTTCGCTATAACCGTATATTTTTATATTAAATAAAGAAGGGCAATATTCGGGCCAAAATAAACTGTTCCCTATAACCGGAAGTTCGCTATAACCGTGTTCGCTATTAGTGAAGTTTACTGTAATTAATTAACATAAACAATTAATTAATCAATTGTTCTTGTTCGTTATAAGTATGTATATCATAATGATAGTGATAAGTGTGAAACTTGTAATTAATAATTTAGCATAGCGTATTGAAACTATTACGTTATTTCAGGTAAAACGTGTAAAACTTGCAAAGATGAATATTACGGCTTGTCAGGTAACAAAAGAGACGGGTGTGATGCTTGTGAGTGTAATATTGTAGGATCTGCTTCGTTTATATGTGACAAAGATACTGGTCAATGTCCTTGTTTTGGTGAAAGCAATCATACACAAATTAATAACAGACAATGCGTAAGTTTCGTGATTATAGTTATTGCACAAGTTTCACGAATTTTTATTTGTCTTTATCAAGCCAGCTTACGGAACGTCGGTGGTTCCATTCAGCGACCCGTCTGTCCCTAAGATAATAAACAGAGGGGCACTTGAGTTTTCTTTTCACCAGTAAACCTCTAAAGTCGCCTTATGACCTTTACAGTATTGGTCCCCCATAAAACATAACAACAATAAACACAAGAGGGGTATTAATATTGCGATTTTATTTTTAAAAAAATGACAGCTTTTGCACTGACACTGAGTTGCGTTGCTTTCTTATCCCGTAAGCAAGCACGTGCTGAGCTTAGATTAAATCAATGTGAAGAATTAATTATAAGCCAGTAAGAAATGACAAAAGAATTATCAATCTTATTAACATAATTTTATTGTACTAAAAAAACGCCGGAAAACTCCTTGTATTACCGACAATTTTTTCATGTGCAATGAATGTTATATGAAGATTGAAATACAAGTGACATTAGAGGTACAATGTAAGCTACTACAAAGACTAATTAAACTATTTTAGATACCGACAGCGTTGAAACTGGAACCTTTGTTTGGACCAAAGGCTGGGTCAACATTGCTTACCCTCACTGGAACATTTCTTGGTACAAACGCAAATGTAAAACTTACCATAGATGGTGAAGAACAAGACATTGTTGATAGGTAAATTATAATTTGCTGTTATTTATAAATGTAGTTACTTAAAAATACACTCCAAGGCCGCTTTCTCGAGTTACCCAAGACCTGTGTTAGACGAGGAATCCCGAGTAGAGCCTAATTCAAATATTCCCGAGTTGATTAACATTGATGAAGAACACTTTTAGTGTAAACATACTTTATTTCAAACATTTTGAACAAACGGAATTTACCTACAATGATGAATAACACAATACAATTCTTAAAAAAGGATCAGAACACAAAGCATAAAATGTTTAAAAAGGATATTAATAATGACTTTTAGTGTATGTCTCTTAACGGACATTCTTCCACAGGTCCCATTCGTACATGTTTAATTATACTTTATGAGTATCTTTCAGGAAATTTATAATAAGACGAAAATTATTGTTGTTATTGTTGCGTTAGTTTTCAGTCATAATTGGTAGTCTATCATCATATTTTAGTTAAGCTTAGTTAAGCTTAGTCCTTATGAATTATTTTTATGCATAAAGATATATTGTATGTGATTTTCCAGATAGGGAAAATAATTAGACAGTGATTTGTTTGGTATATATATATAATTCTCAAGTAAAATCACAAATAGTATTTATATAAGAAATGAATTAAACCTGCATGCCTCTAGATCAGACAAAATATTTCAAAAAAACGTACAAAGATTATAAGATATGTAAAAATATTCAAGAGAGGAAAGCTGAAATATCTTTATAAAAGATTTAGATGTAAATGGTGAAGATCAATAGGCAAGGCATGGGAAATTTGATAAGGGTAGATAGATATGAATAGTCAATTATAGATCTTTGTGTAACCGCCAATCAATTTTGTATATTTCTTCTTTGTTTCAGGAATCTTACTTTCATAGTATTCAAAACAAAGAAAAGTACAGAAATTAAATATAAACCAATGAGATTAGTCTGGAGATATGGAGGTCAAACATACAGCGATGACAACTTTGATAACAAAGCACAAATGTTTGAATACAAGAACAATCCCCAGATGATAGTATATACCCACATTAAATTTAAGAACATTTGCAAGGTACCGTTAAACAATAATTATTCGTTGGCACTAATTTTCGTGGTTTTCGTGGATAGATTAATCCACAGTTTTAAGGTTCAACGAAATATATATTTCTTTTGTCTGCTTTATAATTATTTTGCATTGCATTATTTAATTACATTTAATTGTTTTAAAAATATTTTAAAAAAAAAGACAATCAAGGAATTTAAAAACCCACGAAAATGTTCTTTGTGGCAAAAACACGAAATTTCATAACCACGAAACTAAATTAATTGATGGTATTGCTGTAACCGTTTTAGACAAGTTCAGCTACTTTCGGGATCATTGATTCCAATATGTGTTAGTGTACTTCTTAAGCCCGTGCTAGGGGCATGAAAGATGTTGAACTTCTATTAATCAGATTCAACTTAGTCTGCATTTTTCAACTTTTTGTTGAACTTTTATTAATCAGATTCAACTTAGTCTGCAGTGTCAACTTTTTTATTTCTTTTTCTTTTCTTTTTTTATACTGTGTGTATTTGTGATAACAACATCAGTTTCAAATTGTATGCACACAGTATGCTTTTGTATTGCATGTGCTGATGTTTGATTCTTCAGTATCATTTCATGTACTTGATTTCATTGATTACCTCCACCATGGCTTTATTTTGTATATGCAAAATGTCTTGTACTAGATATGTGGCCTTACTTAGGTGGAGTGCTCCTGTCAACACAGATGGACTCATTATGAGTGCTCCATTTACCGTTGCAGTTAGATATACTTCGCATTGTAAGTTAACATGTTTGAAAATAATCATTTTTCAATTATGCAACTAGGCCAGTTATATGGAATTGAAGTATTTGTTCGGTTTTCTAATTTCCAGATGTTTGACAGTTTAAATACTTACAGTTTTTTAGTTTTTCTATATATACATGCTCATTAAAATGTTTCTCTTTGGCTTGATAGTGGGGGTTGCATCATTCAAGTGGGAGGTGAAAATCTTGACAGTGTTCCTTATCCAAAGTTGCGAGTTTATGTAGATGGTGACAAGGAGATTCAATCGGTAGGTGATTTGCTGACCTTAGTTTTAAAGAAATTATGAATTCCCATCAAACACCATTAAATGTGTAGAAAATAACTAACGTGAAATATCTATGTATGTAAAATAGACAATTATCAAATATGCAAGATCAGTGTAATGCACGTCCATGGAACCTTGGGTAATATTCATTATTTCATCTGAATAGATTCTTCCTTAATTGATTCCTATTCAGACACAAAATCGTGAGCTACATTTTATCAAATCATTTTCGTTAGAAATGTGAACAGTGTATTTCAAATACATTCTCTCTCCGTGAATTATTATTAGGTTCGTTGGAAATCTTGATTGGTGATGTTAATTATTGACTGTGTTTCTTTTTAATATCTCTAGCCGTGTATGGCAACAAAAAAGACATTAAAGTGTCCGACTCCTACTATCGATATAGATGATAAAGATCGGAATGTCTCGTATGGATTTTGGCTGGACGGATTTATGGCAAACAAGAACGTCACTGACAGCCTGGGCTCTGTATTGGAAGTAATAAAGGACCCTTCTATTTACCCCGCCAATTCGGAAACCTTCCGAAATACGTTTGATGATATCTTCAAAGTAAAGGTATAGCGTTTTTAACATTCTGAAATGACATATCATTTTACATAGTTATATGTATTTTGAATAACCATAATTTCTTTTCAAATTTCTGAAACAAGAAACCAAGTTAGCAGCTTTTCGAAGCAAGTTTATTTCTACAAATGTGCAGTAACATGATATTTTAATGACTGTTTTTTTTTTTAATATAGAAATCACTAGTATACATTTCGCTGATTTTTTGTTGGATTTTTATACCTTTGTTTAAATCGAGTTGATTCAATTTTAAACCATGTTTTTATTTATGATAGATTAACTCATACGCATTGATCAGATGTTTAAATGCTTCAGTTCATTATTTTATCCTCTTACAAAATAAAAACTAAAACAAACAACAACAAAAATAAAACTTGTATTGTATATATGAAAAGCATCTAATTAGTATAAAAAATAATGTGTACTTTCACGGGATGTTTTATCCTTGTACAATAGAGAGTAGGTTATAATAGCAATATATCAGGAGTAATACAAAAGTTACTTTTATCCTGGTGTTCTTTTTTAACATTTACTTTTATCAGTAAGTACCTATGCTATAAGGCGAACTTTCCAAAATTTAACTTTTATACTTTAGTAATAATAAGACGAACTTCCCGTCCAATAAGGCGGATTGTCCAAATTTACTTTTATCCTAAAGTGCCAATAGGGCGAACTTTTCAAAAATTACGGTTATCATTAAAAGCCGATAGTGCGAAGCTTCCAAAATTACTTTTATCCTTAAGTGCCGACAAGGAGAATTAAAATTTACTATTAGCATTTGAAAAATAGCCTCGCGATCAAGATTAATTAATAGATGCACCAAATAGAGGTCACTTTACTGAAATTTGATTTTAGTCTTAGCAGTAAGGAATATGTTAAAAATGCGACAACTGAATTAAAAGTGCATTAAATAAGACATTTCCTCAAGGTTTACTTTCATAGTTGAGTGGAAACTACAAAGAATGCGAACTTTCTAAAATTCATGCGCAGTCTTAAGTGGTAATTATCGTCTAATAGGTACAAGTAAGAGTATTTTACGAAATTTATTTTTGCATTTAGAGGTATGCCTTTCAAAAGTGCTTAAAATTAACTTTGATTACTTACTTTTTTATCATTAGCTCGTATACCCCCTCCATTGTTGTTACATAGAAACATGTAATAAGGTTTTTAAAGCATTTGTGTATTTGTAGGGTGAGCGTTTGAATGATGCCTGCCATGACAGTGACGTTTCTATAACTCTTGGAGATAAAAATTGCGCTATACTAAGCCGTCATGACGACGTTATCACGTGTGATCCAGGGGAAAGTTTCCCGGGTACAGCAAGATCCGTTACAGTCAAGGTAAGAAATAAACTGTTAAGATAAAAAGAATGTCTTTCTTATAAAAGAAACATTTGTTAAAATTGCAAATAATATCTTATTTTATTTATATACATATTGTTGTTTCAATTTTAAACTGTACATCGACAGTATATTTCTTGAATTTCTGTAAAAAGCCAAAAGAAAAGACAAAATCATCTACCAACACATATATGTATGTGCACAGGAAGCTGCTTGGCATCCTTAATAACTTGTATTAAAATTAAAAAAATCGTAATCTATCTGATTTTATGGCTGTGAAAGTATTAATTCTACCACAGAACGTTTCGTTTTTGACAATATTTTCGATGGTTTGTTGATTTTTACGCTAACATTAACACATTTCGGTCATACCTCGCTGTTCATCTAAACAACTTTACTGAATATCTAACCAGTACGCAAGAAACTATCTACTTATCCGACATGATTTCTGAATCGGCGATGAGTTAAACAGAAATCTTTAGATATAATGTCCGATATTATTTGTCACGTAGAATTTCCGCCTCGTCCAAATCAAACTAGCGAACCCGTGATTACAAAAAAGTCCGATTCTCTCCCTGTAGAGCTTAGCGGGTTCTGCCGTTAATGAAATGTGGCGTAAAAAGACATGTCACTCCATTACGTTGATTTATGTTGATGCCTTCATGGGAATGCTCTCATGATTCAAATACAAATACTGGCTAAATAGAATGTATAATCAACATTTTTTTTCCACCTTAAACCGCCAATTCTTTAGAAAGCAAGTTCAAATCGTTGATGTAATGAAAGTAAACACAACAAAGACATGCATAATAAACAAAATAAATGTGTGTTATTTAAAAAGGTGAAGATAGGTAACATTGAAGTGGTATGGGGTACACTAAAGATTAACTCGTTTTGGACCAACACAGAGTTTATCTACATAGCCGTTGGCGCGGGTGTGTTCCTTATCATCATCATCGCATTTATCGTCTGCGTTATCAAATGTCGTCGCAAAGACAACAGTGATAGCCCTGGCGACAGTATTCCGCTTGAAATAGGTGAGTCGTTTCCCTTTCAACGTGATATAATTCATATTTTTTTTCTTAAAGTGATGATAATAAACTCATTTATTCCTGTACTTATGAAGTTGTAACCGATTTTTTCTTAAAGTGATGAGAATAAACTCATTTATTCCTGTACTTATGAAGTTGTAACCGATTTTTTCTGAAAATACGTTTTGTAACTAGGAAATATAATACTGGTATATATAATTACAATTACAATTTTTATTTTTATTTATTTTTGAATTCAACTTTTAGTAAAATTAGTGTGAAATAATGTGTTTTTTAAACACAGGGGCAACTGGTAAAACCGAACCAAGCAACTATACAACACTAAATCCAATTGCTGTGATTCAACCCCAATATACCGAGATACATACAAAGACGTCGAAGGAAATTGCAGACGATTTTTGCAAGCGTTTATTACAACACGTTGGAAAAGTCGTGAACAGTTCTATAATAGAAAGAAGTAACATAGACCCTGGAAAAATATGCACGCACAAAGGTGAATGCTAGCTTGTTATTACTTTTTGTTCGTTATTGATATACTCCATGTACAATCAATTAATTACGATTATGCCATAATTAAGCTGGAGGGAAGGCTTACAACTATGTTTTCATACAATTTTTTTTTGTAAATTGCTAAAATGTCAGGAATCTGTCCAGCTAGCTTACAAAACGTCGGTGGTTCTACTCGTGTTCTTCCTCGTGCCTTAAATAATGGACGTAGGCGCAGCTCGGGGTTTTGCTTCTATCGTGAAACAATATATATGTTTGTCCGATAACTACGGAATACCGTTAGGGCCATCGTGGTTATACGTTAAAATACAGAGGGCGACAATGCGAGAGTGCGACAGTGCGATGACGACAATGCGACAGTGCGATGGCGACAATGCGATAACGCGATAGTACTACGAAGACAGAGCGATAGTGTTATCGCACTGTCGCCATCGCATTGTCGCATTGTCGTCATCGCACTCTCGCATTGTCGTACTGTCGTCATCGCATTATCGCACTGTCGCCATCGCACTGTCGTCATCGCGTTATCGCATTGTCGACTTTCGCCTTCTGGTGGACGGTTCTAAACTGCTGGCGAATAAGCTGACGGTATAGAATATGGGATAATTTTACTTTTGTCAAAAAAAAATTTCTTCTTGTTTTTTCTTTTCCTTTTTATTATTTTTTTTGTTTGTTTCTTTTCTGTATACTAATAATGTTTAAATGAAATCATAAACTAATAATAAGAATCGTTTTATTTATAAATACTGAAAGAGTTAAACATAGACGGAAAATTTCATAAATTGTGTGAAACTTTAATATACAATGTAATAGAAATATTTCAGATGAAAATGATCTTATGTTGACATTTAAAAGATGCAAAAAAAATTAAAATCATTATTTATTACTTGTTTAAAAAAAGGCAAACAAATTATATTCATAGATCGTCATCAGTGGTTTTATTGTTTTGTAAGATGTATAATTTATTATATTACTTACATTGTAAATAAAAATACATGTAATTAGAAATTTACGTCAACATATCATTTTTTCTATATATCTAACATAAGTGGTCAACAATTTTCACTTTAAGATTAACTTAACAGCAGATCCTACTATAAGTTTAACTGGTCAACATATTGTACTATAGCCAACTGATTCCGCTGGTGGACATAGTGTGACAATGTGTTTCAATGTTGAAAAACACATCTATCCATTATACTTAATCAAGAAAAAATCTTACTGTTTATTTTTGTTGGCAACATGCTAAATTACCAACTACCTGCCGGTAGGTAGTGGGATATTAAGAATAACCAACTACCAGCTAGTAGGTAGTAGGTTATTTGAATATCCAACTACCAACTACCTATCAAATTGACGTTTCTTTAGATTTTTATCAATATCTAAGACCGAGCCATTTTTGGTGCTTGGTGAACATAGCGCTTTTATATTTCTTAAAGATAGTAAATAAATATGATTAAATAAAAAAAAGAAATATAAAAGATATACTTCATTTCTGTGTACACTTGTTTTATATATAGCCAAAGTGATTTAAGCTCAACCTTGAGAAACTGCTTATGAACAGATGAAAATGATATTTGCAGTGAAGTTTTAATTTATTTTGCAATGTTAGTAAAAATTGGTTTATGCCATATTTTCTTCATATACTATATGGTCAGCAGACTTAACGTACGGTGCTTTAGGTACACATGTATACTAGAATCTGCTGACCAGTTAACCCATTCCCGCATAAGCATTTTGTGAAAAATAGCTGTTTTCATTGAAAACCCCCCTGTTACACAAGTTCAAATTGCTATGAAACTAAAATAATGCACGGAAGGGCACCTGAGGTCTTCTTCCACCAGTAAAGCTGGAACGTCGCCATATGACCTATACTGTGTCGGTGCGACGTAAGACCCAATCAATCAATCAATCAACTATGAAACTAGACAAAAATGTTTTAATACTGATCAAACTTGGCACAAATGTTTACTTAGCCATAGCATTTGTATCTTAATTTCCTGTTACATGTACCATGACAACGATGGGACATTTCAAAATCACTATGTTGTGTTAATTTTTCCATCAAAGCTGCAAATTCCCGATGGGTCGGGATAGAGTGAAGGGCTTTCAGCGTTGGTTACACGTTACCTTATGGTCGACCTGATGCCATTTTGAGCCTCTCACAAGTCCAATTTTTTCTTGGAGTTGAGTGGGGCGGCAGTCACCCTTCAAACCCCCGTGCAGAAGAGGGTACCCCCTCTCTTGCACCCCGATGTATCTGATAAATAGGGCATGGTTTTCACTATTTGAGGCATCAAAAGGGAGGGTGAGAAGGCGTGAAAACACGTCTATATGAGGTAAAAGGTAAAACATATATAGTAAGGATGAAGCATTTGTAAGACATTACATAAATTAAATAAAGTATTACCTCCTTCAAACAGCAATCCTCCAATAAAGTTTGAATATTGTGGACCAAATGGAACTTAAGTTATACTCTGGAAACTGTTTTCAGTTTTGAGGTAATAGCGACCTTGAACTTTGACCTTGTGACCCCAAAATCAATAAGGGTCTTCTACTCAATATGGACAATCATCCTATGAAGTTTGAAAACTATGGGCCAAATAGAAATTACGTTGACAAAAGTAAAATTATCCCATATTCTATACCGTCAGCTTATTCGCCAGCAGTTTAGAACCGTCCACCAGAAGGCGATATTCGAGAGTGCGACAGTGCGATGACGAGAGTGCGACAGTGCGATGACGAAAGTGCAACAATGCGAGAGTACGACAGTGCGATGGCGAGAGTGCGACAATGCGATGACGAGAGTGCGACAGTGCGATGACGAGAGTGTGACAGTGCGATGACGAGAGTGCGACAGTGCGATGGCGAGAGAGCGACAATGCGTGAGTGCGACAGTGCGATGACGAGAGTGCGACAATGCGAGAGTGCGACAGTGCGATGGCGAGGGTGCAACAATGCGATGACTAGATTGCGACAGTGCTATGACGAGAGTGCGACAGTGCGGTGGCGAGAGTGCGACAATGTGATGACGAGAGTGCGACAGTGCGATGACGAGAGTGCTACAATGCGACAGTGCGATGGCGAGAGTGCGACAACGCGATGACGAGAGTGCGACAGTTCTATGACTAGAGTGCGACAATGCGAGAGTGCGATGGCGAGAATGCGATGGCGAAAGTGCGACAATGCGATGACGAGAGTGTGACAGTGCGATGACGAGAGTGCGACAATGCGAGAGTGCGACAGTGCGATGGCGAGAGTGCGACAATGCGATGACGAGAGTGTTACAGTGCGATGACGAGAGTGCGACAATGCGACAGTGCGATGACGAGAGTGCGACAATGCGAGAGTGCGACAGTGCGATGACGAGAATGCGACAATGCGAGAGTGCGTCAGTGCGATGGCGAGAGTGCGACAATGCGATGACGAGAATGCCACAGTGCGATGACGAGAATGCGTTAGACGAGAGTTCGACAGTGCGATGACGAAAGTGCGACAGTACGATGGCGAGGGTGCGACAATGCGATGACGAGAGTGCGACAGTGCGATGACGAGAGTTCGACAATGCGAGAGTGCGACAGTGCAATGGTGAGAGTGCAACAATGCGATGACGAGAGTGCAACAATGCGATGACGAGAGTGCGACAATGCGACAGTGCGATGGCAACAGTGCGACAATGCGATGACGAGAGTGTGACAGTGCGATGACGAGAGTGCGACAATGCGAGAGTGCGACAATGCGAGAGTGCGACAGTGCGATGGCGAGAGTGCGACAGTGCGATGACGAGAGTGCGACAATGCGATGACGAGAGTGCGACAGTGCGATGACGAGAGTGCGACAATGCGTGAGTGCGACAGTGCGATGGCGAGAGTGCGACAATGCGACAGTGCGATGGCGAGAGTGCGACAGTGCGATGACGAGAGTGCGACAGTGCGATGACGAGAGTGCGACAGTGCGATGGCGAGAGTGAGACAATGCCATGACGAGAGTGCGACAGTGCTATGACGAGAGTGCGACAATGCGAGAGTGCGACAGTGCGATGACGAGAGTGCGACAATGCGAGAGTGCGACAGTGCGATGGCGAGAGTGCGACAATGCGAGAGTGCGACAGTGCGATGACGAGAGTGCGACAATGCGAGAGTGCGACAGTGCGATGGCCAGAGTACGACAATGCGATGACGAGAGTGCGACAGTGCGATGATGAGAGTGCGACAATGCGAGAGTGCGACAGTGCGATGACGAGAGTGCGACAATGCGATGACGACAATGCGACAGTGCGATGGCGACAGTGCGATAACACTATCGCTCTGTCGTCATCGTACTATCGCGTTATCGCATTGTCGCCATCGCTCTGTCGCATTGTCGTCATCGCACTGTCGCATTGTCGTCATCGCACTGTCGTATTGTCGTCATCGCACTGTCGCACTCTCGCATTGTCGCCCTCTGTATTTTAACGTATAACCACGATGGCCCTAACGGTATTCCGTAGATTACCCTTAAAAAGCCGTGCATGCTTGGTTTTGTTTTATATTATTTTCAATTCATAGAAAGGGAACCCTTCATTTTCTTTTATTTAGGATTGAAAACCCAATTTTTAAAGGGCTAAAAATAACTGAAAAAAATTTTAAATTTAAAACACGTTCTATTATTTTTTCAGTATTTTTTTTGTGTTATTTTACTTAATGAGGGCCATTTGGGCGCCCCCGTGTTTTTGTAGAAAAAAATTTTGCACTTTTCTTCATCAAAGGGTTTAATTTTTTTTCCTTCGTTTTCCAGGAAAAAAGAAAACGTGTTAAAAAGCGGACAGTAAAAATGCACCCAAACATCTCCCCCATTTTCACCCTTTTACAATCAAAATTTTAAATTGAAAAGATATCCGGGTAGTGTATACAATATAAAAAAAACAATTTTGAAAAAAAATTTTCCCAAATTTTCGACCCCTGACTCTTTTTTTTATTGCGAGGTTTTGGTTTTCTTTTACTAAAATGCCTTTAATTCCTTACAAGAACTTACGATGATTGTAGTAGATGAAAGCTAATTTTCACCAGCAGCCTATAAATTATTTCATATAAAAGATTAATTTTATCTTGTTTTCGGTTGCAATAAACCTCACTAAGGTCGTATCTATCTCAGTACCACACCTTGTCCAATTCATTGACGGAATCATTTAATTAAAACAATGTGTTGTCATGTAGCTTGTTCAATTAATCTTAACACCGATGTGGAAAGCTTTTACATTTTTATTTATATTTTAGAATAAAGTGAACACCGTGATTAACATGTACAATGAATATACAGTTTTTTTAATTTGGCATTGTAGAGGAAGGCGATCTGCCAGAATGGCTCAATACTGGTTTACTCGAGTGCACCATGCTTCAAGATTTTGACAATGACAATGTCCTTCAAATAAAGGGAATCGCGATTGATACAAAAAATATCTACATTATTTATCCGGCACTGGCAAACAAGACTCTAAAAGATTACCTGATTTCAGAGGTTATATCACTTACGGGTTTAGTATTTTCATTTGTATATGGGCAGTCAATTCTTCCCATGCAAGAAACATGAGTAATTAAATTAATGAAAATATAAAAAAAAACCTGAATAATTCAGTTCGTCTGCTTTCTTAGAACTTTTTTTAATCTCTTTATATCATCTGTGCGTGCATAACGTAGGTTTTGTTTTTTACATATCTGGTAATAAATTTCTTTTAATGTCTGTTTCCTTTCTAGCCGCTGAATGTAGAAAAGAAGTTGGAGATATGTATTCGTGTCTGTGAGGGCATGAACTATCTGAGTTCACAAAGCATTGTACATAGAGACCTTGCTGCGAGAAATTGCTGGTAAAAAGTTATTTAGTTAACGTTTAGCGAAACAATGTTGTATGCTGAAAGCATTGTCTGCTTAATTCTTTATTTTGTCCAATGTTCTGGAAACTAATGAAAAACCTGATGACCGTCAAACAGTTTGGTGCCTGGCATGATGACAAGGTACTCGCCGTATAGCCGGGTACCAAACTGTTTGTAAAGGTCATTAGAAACGCTCTCGGCAGACGAACATTTAATAAGATATTTATTCAGCAAAATAGTTGGACAGACTGTTATTAACGTGTACTTGTAGTGCTGGGCTATTAAATCAGTCATTTCTCGAAGCTATGTAGAGATACTGATACTTATATAAGTAAATGGTGTCTACAACCATTGTTTTTTATTTGACATTTGAGATAATGTATTTTCATTTATATACATGTGCATATATAATGAATTAGTTTTTTGTATGTATTTAATCAATACGTTTGCTGTATATGTACTTTAGTACAAAGTAGGTTTCCAAAGTAAAAAAATGTTACCCAAATAATGTGTTAATGTAACAAAATTTAGCCTTAAATAATTGTAGCTTTCTTTTATTCGGTGTCTTTTCGATTGCATTGTGCTCTTTAATGTTTTTAAGTTTTTAGAACCAGTCATTTGTTCTTGTTACAAAATCATCATGTACCTATTTCTTTGAAAAATATTACATGTTATAATATTTGACGAATTCTCCCGTTTACCCACTACAGTATATTTCTGTAGACTTCAGTTAGGTTTTACAAGCATTTAGTTGTATTATTTAATTATATTTCTTTTTAATAAATGTAGGGTATCACGAGATTTTGAGGTGAAGATAAGTGATGCTTCGTTTAGTTACGATTTATACCCGGACGAATATTTCCATAGCAACGGTCGTTATCAGCCAGTACGGTGGATGGCCCCTGAGAGTTTACGTCAAGGTTTCTATGACGCGAAATCTGATGTTGTAAGTATGACCTTAGGTCAACTATAAACATGCTATTGTTTCTTCGTCATATATCAAATAAAACGTATGAAATCTTTAAACCATACGTCAGCTATTGTTTCTCCGTCATATATCAGATAAAACGTATGAAATCTTGAAACCATGAAATTACAAAAAAGCTGTGTATTGATTTAGAAATGTTTTATTTCAAATGATACATGGTCTTGACTTTTCATATGATTTTGATGTAAGAGAAAATGATGTAGTCTACGACATTTTGGGACAACCCTTGTATATCAGATAAAATGTATGTAATTTTCATTATTACATAAAAACAGCTTTGTGTATTGATTTAGAAAAACTTTATTTCAAATGACACATGGTTAGTCATTAAATATCTTGAGTTTTTATATATTTTGATGAAAAATGGCCCATGGCGATTAATTTCTTTATCGTACAGAGAAAAGTTTAAATATCAATGTAACCAAAAAATTTCTACCTTTCACACAGAAAATACACAAATTATTGAGTAATGTTTTAAGAAGAATCCACATAAATTTTTATTTGTTTAATTAAGATTAAAAGCATGTATACCAGAATATCGCACAATATTTCATGAGTAGTGATGCGTTGAGGAATGCAATACCAGTATTTGGTATATTTCCTTTGTAAGTCATCAAAAATACATGTGCTTTATTGATAAAAATGATTTACGTTTGCTTATGCATTATAGGTTTGTTACGATTTTGTTGTTGTTGTTGTTGTTGTTGGTTGTTGTTGTTGTTTTAATACATGTATCGTATAACAAAGTACATCACGACTTTCTTCTTTAAATTACACGTTTCATAATGTAATACTTTACACAAAATGTACTTTCACAAACAATTCCGTTGTTGTTTTCACTAGTGGTCCTATGGGGTTGTCATTTGGGAAGTGTTTGCCAATGGATACCTGCCGTACTATGACATCACCGACAATGCGATGATAAAAAGCAAAGTGTGTGACGAGCACTACAGACTTGGTAAACCTGTAGATTGTGATGACGCCGTGTGAGTATTTTACTGAACTGACCGGCTAGTACTTCTTGTGCAAACATTCTGAAAGTTGCATGTTTTTCAGTATAAAACCATGAAATACATGTATTTACATATTAATGTCCCATTTCGCTAGTTATAATTAAGGTTATAACAGTTATGAAATGTTACCATCATATCTGTTTAACTCTGGTTAACATCACGAGGTATTATCTAAATCGATTTAGTTGTTGTTGTTGTTGTTCTTGTTGTTGTTGTTGTTGTTGAAAAGTTTGGTTTAAGGCGTACGAACACAATTAAGGCCATATGGCGCCGAAACCAAACCCGAGTCAAACATTTTCCCATGCTTTTCTTTCTTTTATCACTACATTCGTATGTTTTAGTAAACAGATATTAGTATTTTGTGATAAATAAAGGTTGACGTTTACTACTTTTAGAAGCTATACATACTCTATTGATCAGAGTTTGTAATAATTGCGTTGAATAAGAGCACATTTCACTTTTCAATATTTTCAGGTTTCAAATAATATGCGATTGCCAAAAAGACAAATCGGAGGATCGTCCAAACTTCTTCATTATTCAAAACATGTTCGACCATATTCTTAATCCTGGTGCCTCATTGGTCCAAAAGGCAAATCAGCAAGAATTGGTGGGACACAAGACAGGAAGGGAAACTTATGAGAATCTTAGAATAGTCCCTCCTTCGCGGCCACCAAAAGGTCATAGACCCTAAAAGTGATATTCAAGATCTGAATACATTATTAACATAAAGATGTTTTAATATTATTTGTTAACATTCTTTGCACGTGGAATCTCTGTGATATTATTTGAATTATTATTGAAGAATTATTCTAGTTCTACTGTACAAGCAATAAACGTGTGTATATTAAAAAATGAAGAATTTGGGAATTATGAGAAAATACCATGACATTTTTTCATTCTAGAATTATGACAATTACGACATCGCTTGTTCTAGACTATTCTATGATCACGATCTTTTATTCTTGAATCATAACATCGCTTATTCTAAAATAAGCCACTTGTTATCTACCGGTATATGATGTTTAAGATGATATTGTGTGATTTGTTTAATGTCCTATCCATTGTCAATTAGATAATTAGAATCATCATAATATCTCAATTACAAACCATTATTTTTCTGTGTTAATTTAGTGTCGCAGGTTATACCACCATTTCATTTAATTTATCAGAACAGAATAAAGTTTATTTCATAACTTGTACACACATAGGTACATAGTTATAACAAGCATGTTTAAATATCATTTTAGGTCGCATATTTTACAATATAGCAAAAAAAACAAGAATGTATTTATTCAACATAAATGCCTCCCGACTCAGATTATTGTTAGTAGCTATATTTTAAAAATAGTAATGGCGTTTTGTAATTGTGAAAATTATAAGTTGGCAAGTCATTGCTATGACTTGTGATAAAGTTCAATGTCATCATTTCTTTTAATTTGTAGGACCATTAATTCCACCGAAACAAGAACATTGTCAATTTAATTTGCTTTTTTATATAAAAATGGTACATTAATAGATACTGAATGCATTTTTAGAGAATAGAAATAAGATACAGAATGTCTCTAAATGGACTTTATTTGATGAAAAGGAAAGATGTGAAACATATCTTGTATTAAGCTTTAACCTACATTTTCAAACCTACAAGGATAATTTAATACCATGTATTATGTTCATAACTATAAATAATTGATATACCAAAGTGTTTTATTATGTGTGGTGGTAAATTACACCCATTCTGTTGTCAGCTTAAGAAAATGACACTCCGTACGTTCCGTAAGTGCGCCTGGTTTAAAACGGCCGTTCTGTAAGCGCACCAGGTTTAGGACGGCCGTTCTGTAATCGCGCCTGGTTTAGAACGGCGTTATGTTATCGCACATGGTTTAGGACGACTGTTCCGTAAGCGCGCCTGGTTTAGGACGGCCGTTTCATTAGTGCTCCTGGTTGAGGACGGCATTCCGTGAATGTCTGCCACGCAGATCTGCACTTTGACACATAAGTCCGCCCATATTCCAAATAGTGCACATCATTTTTTAAATACTAGTATTGTGTTTAAAAAAGCTTGCATACAATTAAACAAATATTTATACTACTTTATTAATCAATGGTGAGCAAATGACCATTTGAATGCCTTTTTTGTCAATCAAAATTTTCAAAACAAAATTAAAAGGAAAAAAAAGAAAATAAAATAAAAGAATAAAGAGACACAACTTTTAGACTTGCAAAAATGCGAATACCTCTGTTTGTGTCATTATTTAGTCATTTACTTCAAAATGCGTTTTAACGAAAACATGTGAAGCTCAGGTATTATGAGGTATGTATATAGTTGTGTCGTCTGCAATTAACCTACATAATTTCTTAAATGGACTTGTCCCTCTTTCATTTCTGGAACAGTCTGTTACTAAATTAGCGGAAAACTAGATGAATATCGAAAGACTGCACGGGTGTGCAGGCTAACCTGGGCCCTATACTGGTGGTAAATTATTTGTTACTTTCAGTTCCAGCTAGTTGAGGGTAATCGTTAGAAAACTTTATCAGATATATTGCAACTTACATGTTATTTCAGATATATCCAATGCACTGTTTTCTGACACATAGTGTATATATTTATTTTAAGATAATTAGATGTTTTAAGTCCCTTTGTGTAAAATAATTTCGATAGACTAATTCGTATTTAGCATTTTAGAATATGTATTATATTTTTGATATATATAGTATTCTTTTTATTAAAACAACTGCTTTCACAAATTTTGTATATTTTTGTTAACAATAAAAAATGATAAATTCGCAGTTATTCATTTTATTCCAACCAGGTATCCTTTGCGCTTGTGCATATATATTTTGTTTTATCAACGATATAGGAATAAACTAAAAGGAGGGCGTATTTCGTCTAAACCATGATAACTACATGTATAGCTATTAGGGGGTCGTAACTAGGTGAAGTTTTTTTTCCTTTGTGCGTTTATATGTGTTCATCATAATCAAGTAAAGGATGGAAAAATATCACACAGGCACTAATAAACTACGTATAAGAGTTAACTGTACTTAAATGTAGAATGGTTTCAAGAAAAAATACATTTATGACACTAAAATAAAGGAGTATATTTACTACATTAAGCATTCTGTAGATCGTAAAGAACTAATCAAAAAATTGATATACAAACCTTAACTTAATTAAAGCATGCATGAATAGACATTCGTTTTCCTTCATTAAGGCCAATCAGTGAGTTTGCAGTGCTAGCAAGACCTTAATGTCACTTTTAAGATGCATTATTACAATTAAACTCTGTTGGCTAGTGTTAAAGTTATCACAGAAGTCTTCTTCCCAAAGAACTCGTATCAATATGATAAGCACTCTAAATTAAACGCAGCAGCGGTATAAAGCATGCAGACTTGATCACGTTTTTAAATTTAAGAGATTCAACGCAAACAGAGACAGCACGCAGAATATGCAAACACCGTTTTTTTTTAAAGAGCTTTAAATAAGCAGTGGAGACAAAATATTCATTACGACATAATTAAAAAAACACATAAAAAGTGGATAGGGACGCCGATCTGACGAATCGTATCGATGCAACAATGCAATAAATGTAGAGACCATGGTGGTGGTTACCGCCTACTGATATATGCTGTATCTAGATATCAAAGTTTGCAAAGTTGATGAAAAAGATAAAATGAACGCACAGTTGTAGAAGAAAATACGTACGTGTATTGATTGAATATCAGATAATGGTATCTGAAAAGGAAAGTATTTTAAAGTTATTTCAAAACATAGAACCTACCGCTAACTTCTAGATCACCGAGTCTCCAGGTGAGGTGTTAGGTGTTGTGCCAGTTATGATCGAAGGAGTAACTCGAGTGGTTGTTGGAATAAAATGATAGATAACTAACAAGAGTTCCAAGACGTCCTGCGTGCAACTATCTCCACCAGTCTCAATTAGATGTGAAAACGTCGGTCTTACGCAGTACGTACGGTGCTCAGTAGTAAACTTGTATAAATGATTCAAACTGAGCCAATTTGCTTTGTTTTAGCAAATAATTATATAATTAAGTAGCAGCTGAAACTACAATTAAACTTATGATGTCAATTTAAATAATCTGGTATTGGAAGATAAAACATAAAACTGACAACCCAATAACTATAATCCCCGTACAATAATGTTTTAATTCATGTTCATGTATTAATCATGTACATGCAGTTATTACAAACTAAATATGATGTCAATCGGATAAAAATGTATTCCTTATGTATATAATTGCAGAATTACAAAATTAAATAATAGATGACTTGATGTAATATCTGAAATAATCACACTGTATGAAATTATAAGAAATGTGCTTAGAAAAGCTGCTCAATATTGAATTGCACTTAAAGCCATGATACTATTTATAATCTTAACTTTAATTACAATGCAATTAAAGTCGTATCGTTTATAGAACAACTCCTTGGGATAAATTAGCATAAATGTAGTGATAAACTTAGTAATTATGTACGTTGTCATTAAATATTGTCAAATCCGATCTCATAAAAAAATGTTGAAAACTTACAGAAAAAAGAGATAAATTTAGGTATCACCCCGGTACTGAATATGAAACCATGCCCGTTGCAGTTTAGAAAGCATTTCTTTTAAATTTTGAAATGGCCCATTTCAAGTCATCCCTATTTTTGATTACTTTGAACCTGGGACATAAGATCTTATGTCCCAGTTTGAACGTAGTTATTTTGTGGGGGTTTTTTTGAAAGACTTCATTTCTAGGTGAAAAGTTAAAGGAGGTACTATGCACTCGAATACACACCAGTTCTTACTTTGAATATTTTATAGTGATTACACAAAATAAAAGACGCAGAAAAAAATCTAAGGGCTATAGCTAATCACGGATACCGTGGGCTAATGTATCATTTTTTGTGTTGAATTTACCTAGATTGTACTTATATTTTAAGTTATAGCAAACAAATTTCTGTGACGGGTATGCTGTGTCCAAAATTTAGCCTTATGTATGATTCCTTTATTTTAGGGTAAATAGGGCGAAAATTTAGTGGGCCGACTCAAATAAGGACGGCAATAATCCATGCAGATACCGTGCGACCAGACCGGTTGCAGTACGGGAATTATTTTTTTCCCCAGACGCTTTTTTAAACAGAGACAAATGAGCGTTTTGATGATCGATCATATGATTTGACATTCACTTCCGGAAAAATAAGAAAAAGAAAATTATTATTTTGGTTTGATTAAAATTAACTTTTAGCTATGGGAACCAGAGCTGACACTGCATTGGCTGTTGTTACAATATTTTGGGGTTTCATCGGAATTGTATGTCCATTACTGGTTCAATTCTGCATGGGCAGATCTCCTAACAAAGGGTAAAATTTTTATCCTACTCTCAATTTAACAAAATTTATTGAATAATGAAAGTGAATTCTTCTGTTATTGTTAATTAAATGATTATTTTTGCATTCAAATCAACTGTTAACTGCATTGCTTTCCATGTTTATCTTGTAAACCTGAAAGTCCTGAGGCACTGACTGGGATTTGAACCACAGACCTCTTGATAACAAGGCAGACACTCTTCAACAGTGCCACTTCAGCCCTATGTGTTAACCTAACATCAAAATAGTAAATACAGTAGAACTATGGTAAATCGAAGTTGAAGGGACTTGCATAAAAACTTAAACACATAGGGACCTTGACTTGTAAATCAGTCTCAATTTTTAAATTTAATGACAAAATTTCGAGCCGTTGAAGTTTACTTTTTAACAGTTTACAAGCAAGTTACAAAAGGCATAATAAAAGGAAAGGGAAACTTAACCAGCATCCAGTGTGATTATCATGTGACATCGGGTCAGGGAAGTTCTTAAATAAAAGTACTTCTTACTGTTTACTACACCTATTTAAATGGTAACAATTAAAGCACTTTATCACATATGTGAACATATATAGAGGCTGTTGAACACACCTGTCACACAAAATCTTCTTTGCAGGCAGAAAAGGTGTGAAAAATGTCTAAGATCGAAGGTATCAAAATAATCAAAGGCTTTCAACTTATTGTGGTAACTTGTAGTTGTACAGTACCAGCTTTATTGTATACTGACCAAGAAAAAACTTTGACACATCGGAACATTCAACACATAAAATTTAAACTAATGTATAGGTTTTTATAAAGAATATATAGGGGAAAATCGGGACTTTCATTTTATTTCGGAACATCGAGAAATCGACTAATCGTAGTTCGACTTATAAAAGTTTTACTGTATTGGTATTTATAAAAAATTAAAAAAATCTCTTTACTGTTCTCTTTACTGTTCTTCAAGTTATTTTTAAAGGCAAACTTGCATATCAACAATCAGAAGCACTAAGTAAGAGCTTCTTATTGTCGATATTTGGCCCCTTTTCCCACCTTTCGGAATATATATTTTTCCCCATGAAATTGCGAAAATTCCCCACCGGCAAAAAAATAAAACTAAACAAAAAAGAAACAGTGTCTATTCTAGGATGCACGATTGCGCGATTCACGCTAGTATCTTACAGATCGCGCACAATTCAAAATCATGTGCGTGAAAATCGCGCATCTATTTAAAAAAGTTAATAATTATATTTGGTTGTTTTGTTTACATTTACGCCGGAAACCGAAGGGAGGTAACTGTAAGCTAATTATAATAATTTAGTACCGTATGGTACTGGTTACTTGAGTTGACAGAAATTAATGGAATGTTCCGTACCGACGGAACTAGTGTGCTAGGTCTGACAGTTGGGCGCCATTTTAGTGTAGTAAATAATCAAGAAAAATGAGGCAATTCCTAGCTTGGCTACGATCTAGACGTGAAAGATAGGTTGATTGTTTGTATTATCAATCCCTTTATAATCAATCGCGACAGTTCTATAATAATTTGTTTTCGTTTAAAAATTACGGGGGGACAACTTCTGCTGCCTTAAATAAATATTTTCGTTTTAATTATTTTATTGGTTGAACGCCTCAGTGTAAACTTAATGCAGACGATTTAACATTGGCAGTTTATATTGGCACCCCTTTATTTTGAAAATCACCCCTTTTTTTAAATAGAGGGGGGAAAATCACCCCTATTTTTGAATTCCTAGAATAGACACTGAAGAAAACACACTAACCATAAGTGAAATATGCCAATTAATGTTGATTCACATAGCAAATTCATGAACACTGCGTGTGCATTCAATCATTATCAGGGATGTTTACTTTATGCTTGCTTTGCGACATATGTCGTTCGTTTTACAGCGGCTGTAAGACGGTAATGGGACAATCGGTTATTGACTGAGTCACTTTATTATTTACCGTTGGCTTTAATGAAATAATACATGCAAATATTCAAAAATAAACACTAGCCTACTTGGCAAGTATAAAATAAACAAAATATTATAAAATGAAAGAAAAACACGCTATGACAAAGATATTACTGTAACAAGATGAAAATCCTTAAATTACCGAACTACCAATGGGTTGAATTGCTGCTGTATCTTTACGGCTCTTACGACTATCCCATTTACTGTATACTTTTATAGGCATTGGTGTTTAAAATGCCACAAAATAGTAGGTGTTACCAAAAGATAATAAATAAACAATGCTCAGCAAAGAACAAACGTATCAATGTTCTTTTTAAGCAGCAGACACTTACTGTGCTAGGTTCAAAAGAAAAATCTCTAAAATTAGACCAATTATTATGCAAGTCAGCTGAGGTACACTCAATTTTTTTTTCTCAGCGTATTTTTTTTTAATAATACTATATGATATAAATATGATAAATTTAAAAATCCCAATCAATTCACTAAATAACTTGTCTGCCAGTGCAAAAAAACGATAAATGCTGTCATCAATGAGTTTGATAATGACAGTTAAGGGAAATGAAATTACACTGAATCAAACTGAAGTCACTCAGTTAATAAAGTTGTTAACTAATTTCAATTAGTTGTTTTATTTATTTTATAGGATTGAAAAAAATCACTTTTTTTAGTCTTTTTATTGAATGTTAATAAAACTGAAAATTCCCCTTTTTTGGCATTTACGCACTATTTTTCCCCACCCAATGGGCACTGACCCCCTTCCCCCAAAACTGAAGAAAAAACACTGCACAAGCAAAGCTGCTGAAAGTGGCTTATAAATTATAGATAGGCTATATATATCTCATTATGATTAATCATTAAATTGGTGACTTTATAGTGCATGCAGATGTTAAATCTGTGACAAAAGTTATTGTTTGAATATTAGATTAAAAACAAATACTTCCTAAATGCTTGTATGAAAGACAAACGGAAGTATATTTCTTTAATGCAAATGGCTAAACAAGTAAAACCCAACTGAAAATGACTGCATAATATTTTACTCCAAATCATTGTATTCTGTTTACATACAATATTTATGTATGTTAAATAACAGAGACATTGTGTATTACAATATTTTGAAGAATAAACCATAATATTATGGAAACAATACAATTTTACTTAGGGTTGTCATTGATGGAAAAAATTGTATCATTATCAACATATCAAAGTCAAATATCAACAATATATCAATATACAATACAGTATCAAATTAAATAGCTTCAATGTCAAGTGGAAACTTTTTAAATATGTGTAATGAATGGTCATGTTGGTGTTATGTTTTATACTTACAAACCCATGATACTAAAATAAAGAACATATAAGTTTTCTTGGTTTTATATCTGACAGACCTCTGAAAATTAAATCTGGTGTTCTAAGTATGTAAATGTAAGAAAAGTGGCATTTTCCCTTTACACGAAATAGATATTTTCACTAAGCATGAAAAAATTGGTTATACATTTTGTAAATTGTATTAATATTCTACATTGTGAATTAATATTGTGTGTTGTTGAATGTAGATGATATATTGATATTGACTTCGTGATATTCAACGACAGCCCTAGATTTTTATTGTTGATTAAATTTTTATAAAAATATTTTGTAAGATATAGCTTTATACCCTGTTATGCAGCATACTGCTAAAGAAAGTTGTACTAATGTTGCAAAATTTATCAAATAAAATAGTTGTGAAAGAAATCAAAATAGCAATTTAGAATGGCCATTTTGAAGCTGGACAGGACAATTTAAGAAATTCAATAGGTTAAAAGTGAATATGATCATCCATGGTTGAGTGGTAAAGGTTGTTGACTTCAAACCACTTGCCCCTCACTATTGCCACTTGGAACCCCGACAGGGACTTTATATTCTTTTTTTGTTAGGAAGCTATCCAGCTAGCTTACAAAACATCAGTGGTTCTACTTAGGTGCCTGTTTGTGCCAGAAATAGAACATCAGTGGTTCTACTTAGGTGCCCGTTTGTCCCAGAAACAATACATGGAAAGACACTTGAGCTCTTCTTTCACCAGTAAAGCTAGAAAGTTGCCATGATATGGCCTATTCATGTGACTAAAACCAAAAAAAGAAATAGGGTTAATATTGTAAAATTATAGTTTTGGTAATAGTTAATAATCAGAGAATTATTTCTTGTCGTTTCAGAATTGTACAGATTATGTTTATAATGACAGCTGCCTCATGCTATCTCTTGTAAGTATTTTACTTCAGCTTGCTGTGCTGAATTCTATATTGATATCTTATATGGGTACCTACTTATTGTTGACTATATGTTAAAAAAGATATAATTATATTTTCAAACATAGCTTATAATTTACTGAAAAGGTATTAAAGAGAAAAAAATGTGAGTTGGGTTATAATTGGTGCACTGTGGTTTCTGTTTTTGACAATTCAACGAGGTTTGTAGCATTTTTGTGTCGCCTCTACGGAGTAGTGGCGACATATAGGGATCACTTCTCCGTCGTCTGTCTGTCCGTCTGTCTGTCCGTCTGTCTGTCCGTCCGTCCGTCACAAAACTTGTCCGGACTACCCCTCATAAACTACTGGTGCAATTTCATCCAAACTTTACAGGAATGATCAGTACCAAGTCTAGTTGTGCATATTGTCAGCATTTTCCGGTTCAATGATTTTTGTCAGAGTTATGGCCCTTTAATAATTTTTAATTTTAAAGTTTGTCCGGACTACTTCTCTTATACCACTAATGCAATTTCAATGAAACTTTACAGGATTGATCTGTAGCTCAAGGCCTTGCGCATATTGCACGGGTTTTCCGGTTGAATGATTTTTGGCCGAGTTATGGCCCTTTGATAAAAAGGTGTTTTTTTCTGTTTGTTGCCAGATACACAAAAGCTTGTCCGGACTACTCCTCATAAACTACTGGTGCAATTTCATCCAAACTTTACAGGAATGATCAGTACCAAGTCTAGTTGTGCATATTGTAAGCATTTTCCGGTTCAATGATTTTTGTCAGAGTTATGGCCCTTTAATAATTTTTATTTTTAAAGTTTGTCCGGACTAGTTCTCTTATACCACTTATGCAATTTCAATGAAACTTTACAGGATTGATCTGTAGCTCAAGTCCTTGCGCATATTGCACGGGTTTTCCGGTTGAATGATTTTTGGCCGAGTTATGGCCCTTTGATAAAAAGGTGTTTTTTTCTGTGTGTTGCCAGATACGCAAAAGCTTGTCCGGACTACTCCTCATAAGCTACTGGTGCAATTTTATCCAAACTTTACATGAATGATCAGTACCAAGTCTAGTTGTGCACTGTCCGTCTGTCTGTCCGTCTGTCACAAAATTTGTCCCAACATGAAATTGGCCATTATGAGGCGACACATGTGATTACTGATCGCTCTTGTTTCAATGATGATATTTCTGTTATAAAAGAATTGGAACCATCGACTGAGTGGTTCAGGTTGGTTGCTGACTTCAAATCACACTAAATTTGGCTTATACAATGTATCTTTTACTAAATTGTATCCCTTTTTGAAAGTTCTAAGATGATAAAGAGCTTGCAAGTTCCAAGTCCATAGCCATTTTGATTATCCAAGTTATTCACTTGAAACTTCACTCATTGAATGTGATCAAATTTGTATATCATTGTTTTAAGAGCCATTATGGTAGCAAATAATTTTTACTGAATTTTATACATGTAGTCTGGTTTGACTGTATTATGATATATATATGATGTGTTTTCATTCACAGCTGGCTGTGTGCATTCCTGTTTCAATTGAATCCATTGGTTGGTCCTCAACTTGAAAGTAATTTAATACGAATTATGCAATATGAATGGATGGGAATAGATCCTGAACATGTGTCGGTATGTATCCATCAGCTGGCATTCATTACATTATTATATCAAACATTAGTTTACCATGTCTGGAATATTCTATGCCCCTGCATTGGTACAATGTAGATGGCCTGACACATTGGTGAAAGTTGTTTTTGTTCTGTTTGTCTGTTAGTGGACAAGTAAAACCATTTATTACATGCTTTTCGGTGGTTTATAGAAATATATCAGTGAAATAAAATACTGATATTTCACAGTTTGAAACAATTGAATTATGAATTTGATATCTTTGACTGTTTTGTTACGTTACATTGTTTCAGTGAAATACAAAGCGTGTACAGTACTGGAAACCAACTTAATGATGTGATGTCACGTTGTATTATTATTTGGCGGGCTTTTCAATTAGTATTAGGTTAAAATGTCTTTTTAAATGTTTCTTTGCATATAACGTGTATAATAAAAAAAAAAATTGTTCAGGCTAGTGTAAGATCGAAATATATTTCACCTCGTGAACATCAGAAGCTCATATTTCACTCATGGCTGCGCCAATCCTGAAATATACCTTTAGTGCTAACTCAGTGAAATATATCCTGTTCTTACACTGAACTAAACAAATATCCTCTATATATATCATCTTTATTCGGGCCACCTGCCAGCTTCGCTCAATAAAGAGAGCATCAGATTTGTAATCCAGAGGTCACTGGTTTGATCCTGTGGCAAGGCAAAAATATATTTGTGGCAATTTATCTCGGACATAAAGTCAATTGGACATTTGTCACACACTGCTGATTTATGTGTAATCAACAGTCAGTCACTTTCAGAGAAAATGATCATAGATGGCAAGTTATCCAGGTTAAGTGGACCCACCACCGAGATACGACCAAAAATGTTTTAAATGTTAAAAAAAAAACAGAAAAAAACAGACAAACATACAATATTTTTCATGCTATTACCTTCATACCAAGACACAATATACCTCAGATAAGAGCTTTATTTTGACTTATTGAAATATGACCTTCATTGCAAAAATAACTTTGACCTTCAAGGTCAAATGTTGGAGTATTTTGGAAATTTGACTTTTCTATTTATGAACACATTTTTTAACAGTTTTTTATGCCCCCAGACATAAAGTTATTGAATTGTCTGTCCACTCTACTGAATATGAATAGGAGGCCATCTAACTGTAAAGAGATCAAAAGAGTTCATTTTGTTACAAAAGAATAAGCAGCCAAAGGCCCTTTATTAAATAAAAGAAAAAATCAAAAGAAATGGCCCTAATTTCATCTCAGGCAATGTCTGTATATCTGTCCATCTGTCAGTACGAGGTTAACTTAAACTGACAAATGTGATATCTATAAAGTTTTACCTGTACAATTGGCTTTATAATTTACATACTTATCAGTACGAGGTACATGATCTTAGCAAGTTACAATGTACATAAATATGACTGGGTAAGTTGTCAGGTGGCATCCAATTTTGTCCTGAGCATAATATCTCCTACACACATGGTGGGATTTAAATAAAACTTACGTAAATGTTCACCACTGTGAGAGGCTGTGTGGCCCATATGAACCAGGTCTCTAGATCAAAGGTCAAGGTCACACTTAGAGCTCATTGAGTCTCCAGGTCAAATGTCAAGGTCACACTAAGAGGTCATTGAAATTGAAAAACGCTTCTCCAAAACAAAACGTCTACATGCATAAGGGGATTGTAATAGAGCTTGGCACAAAAGTTCACCATTGTTGAGTGTCACACTCTAAATTCAGGTACCTGCAGCCAAGGTCGAGATTACCAAAGAGTTCAAAGTTCAAATAAAAATATGAAGAACTGAATAGAGACCATTTAATCATCATTTATTGATGTATTGTAACACAAATGGTAACTATCGTGTCTACAGGTGTGACACTTGTAATTTACGTTAATGCTTGCAAGGTGAAGGTCACGAAAGATGATTAGATATAATACATATTGTCCAGAGCATATTTCTTCATGCATGTAGGAATTTAATGCTACTTCATAGAATTTTTCAACGCAATGAGACATAGTGGTCCATGAACCATGTCTCTAGGTCAAAAGTCAAGGTCACATGTAGATTTCTTTGAAAAACGGTTGTCCAGAGCAAAACATGTATAAATATTATGCATATTTTTTAATATTTGTGTGTTTTTATTTCCAGGAAGTACCAAAATAAAGCAGTTAATCATTCCTGGATGAATGTTTACCAACTAGTCTCTTAGAATTCCACATTATAGCCAAGACATCACAGATCATTTTATTGTTTTTGTATTGTGAAAAAAAAAAGACATTTATGCTATTAGGAAAGGGTCTGTTTTACCAGACTCATAAAGAAAGACACTCAAATTAGAAAATGTTTACCAGACTCATAAAAAAAAAAACACTCAAATAAGAAAATATTTGGTTGACAAACTACAAATAAGGAAACTTTTTCCAGTGGATCACAGATTTATATTTGAAATACCTGTTAAGATGTGTATACAAAAATGAATTTAATATATTGTGAGACAAAAACACTTTTTAGGTGCTGAAATTTGTGAAGTACTGGTATAATTTTAACAAAAAATTTAATAAAAAGTAAAAGTTATGAAATTCTTAATACATGTAATTCAGAAAAATACAGTGATAATATAAATAGTAATGAAATGAAGAAAAATTATGTAATTTAAAAAAAAGTTTAGAGTAACATTGTGTTATTGTGATTAATTTTATGTACATATTTTAAAACTATGTTGTACATTTTGTTTACATGTATATATTTCTGATTATTTACATGTACTGTAGTATTTAATGTATACTAGTTGAGATAAATAAACAGATTTATAAATATTTTTGTGTTACTGTTGCTATACATATAATCATCTGCCTGCATATGGTGTGTTAACTGGCTGCACGTTTGTTGCAACGATTTCCATTATCATGACGATTATAACTTTATATGATAATAATTTTAACAAATCCACTGTGTGGCTGAGTGGTTCCATTTAAGGTTGAGGTGCTGTTTAGCCCTACGTGATCTGAAGAGACGACTAAATATGTTCAGATTATTGTAGTCTATGTATCTCTTAGCTTCAGCAGGTGAGGTAGTTTTGATCACTCGTGTTTATTTGAAGATTTTAACAACTAAGGTTAGCCAATCATCTTTCCTATTTCGGTGCCATATGACCTAAACTGTGCTGGTGCGCCATAAAACCAAACAAACAAACATATTGTGTGTTTTTAGCTCACCTGTCACAAAGTGACAAGATGAGCTTTTGTGATCACAATTTGTCCAGCGTCCGTCTGTAAACGTTTACTTTTAACGACATCTCCTCATAAACAATCTCCTCATAAACAGCTAAGCCAAATTCATCCAAACTTCACAGGAATGTTCCTTTGGTGGTCACTTGAAAAATTGTTCAAAGAATTTAATTTCATGCAGAACTCTGGTTAACATGACAACCAAAAGAATAAACTTAAAAACTTCTTTTAAAACACCAAGGACCTAGAGCTTAAGAATTATGACAGGAAACATCTTTAGTGAGTGTCTACCAAGTTTGTTCAAACAAAAGCCCTGGGGTCAAATTTGGCTCGCCCCGGGTGGGGGGGTCATTGATTTTCCTTATATGTATATAGGAAAAACTTTAAAAAATCTTTAAAAAAACTCAAAGACCTAGAGCTTATATATTAAGCATGGAACATCTTCTAGTAGGTATTTAGCAAGTTTGTTCAAATTAAAGCTTTTGGGTCAAAATTGGCCTCGTCCCGGGCAGTCATTGTTTTCCTTATATGTATATAGTAAAAACATAAAAAATCTTCTTTTAAAAACCCAAAGAGCTTTAGCTTAGATATTAAACATGAGGAATCTTCTAATGGTGGCTGCCAAGTTTGTCCAAATAAATGCCCTGGGGTCAAAATTGGCCCCACCGAAGTGGGTTATTGATTTTCCTTATATACATATTGTAAAAAATTAAAAATTCTACTATTAAAAATCCCAAACAGCTATGGTGTTGATATTTTTAGCATGATACATCTTCTAGTGAGTTTCTTCAAATAAAAGCCCTGAGGTCTAAATTGGCCCCGGTCCATGGGATCATTGATTTTCCTTATATGCGCACATCTTTTGGAACTCTTGTTTTCCCTTAGCAATAGCAACCAATTATGTTTATACACATGCATTATTTCAGATACAAATATGAACTTGTGATATCAGTTTAAGATTTAGATTTTATATCTGCTTTTGTTTATAGTTTACGATTTTACTTGTTCCTTGTCATGGAGAGGTTCTTATCATTTGAGCGAGTTCAGGGCTATCATGGTCCTCTTGTTAATTTAGGCAATGAGACAGTACGTTTTAAACATTTTGAAAGGGAGATCCGTTGAGAACAATAAAAGCAAAAGCAAACACACACAGTTTTGTCGAGTCTGTTCATGGCATAGATAAGGAAAGTGCAACTTCTTTCACGCCCCTAGCACCGGCTAATTTGGCGTTCAATTCAACACACTAACCCTAATTGCTATATCAACATCACATTACGGCTAAGACAATATAATATTACAACCACATATGCTGGTCTATATTACCTGCCAAATTGCTTACAACCTGTGCATGCTCGTATTGTCTCTTGTTTAAACACGGTACAATGGCCATAGATGAATCTGTTGAACAACTTTTCTTTTCTTTACTAATGAAACTGTATTACATTGCACTTGCATAATTATAGAAATATAGTCATTTTAACGCTTTAGATTACAGCTGTATATGTTTTAGCATAAGGTCTTCAGCGTACCCGTTTATATACTATTACATAACGTGAACGCCGCATCAGATGAAAAGCAAAACTATTAAAAAGCGGCGTATAAAGTTTTGGAAGGCAGAACTTATTATGTTTTATACAATGTTTATTATACTGTAAAGATAACTATATCAAATCCTTAAGGAGGTGGTGGGGCACACCTCAGTTCAAGGTCAGTTCGTCGTACATACCAGGGATGAGTTTAAACTGTCTAGACTTGTCCTCTTGACAAACCCTTTGGCTCTCAAACTTCACACATCTTCAGTCAGAGTCAGGCTACACGCGATTTAAAAGTCACCCATGACCATCATGCTCCTCTTTGTACAGAGTATCACGTTGATTGTCATAAGAATGTTTGCATTATCATTACTATATACATATAAAAAATCAGAAATGTTTGAAAAAATGGCATTGAACGCCCATTACTGTTATCAATGATACATTCAAAATTTTCTGATTATGAAGTTTGTAATTTTCTAAATAAAAAAAAACTGATCAAGTTCATTACATAAACACAGTGGAGATAGTTTAAAGAGATAGACTACTAGCACGACGAATATCGTAGGAACTAATTCCAAAAAGATACATCGTTCATAATCGTTTACAACTGCCAAACAAAACTTTGGTTAATTTATTAAGCAGCATGACAATATAAGCCCGGTTAGATCCAATAATGCCTTCAAAAACATAAAAAACACTTTTCTGATATTGATAGTAATAATTAAACTGGTTAAAACTACAAGTAGTTATGGGTCATAATAACATCTCCACATCGCCAAATGTTTAATTGCAAGAGTACTTACATTCAGTCCAATTATTTTATTACATGTATTAAATAATATTTTTATCAATTAAAATTGTTATTACAGAAATGTGATATAAGTATCAAACAAAAGAATGCGTTTTCTGAAACTTCGAAAAATTACCTGTTTGAAAATAGGTATTGAGGTACAGCTGTACACATGGAAACTAGAACAGTCACCTATTTTATTCAAAACGTTTGTCATTTACCCGACCACAGAGGTAAAAGTGTTTTATATATTGTTACAAAGTACAAAAAAAAGCAAACTGACAAGTTTCTTTCACGAATGAATATTTTATTCAGTTTATGGTGTTACAATAAAAATAAATTTTAATATATTAAATGATAAAATCTGTTTTAATATGTTAAATGTATTCGATATATTCAAGCGCGATTTCATTATAAAATTGACTCTTTTTTTCTACTATTGTACATATTCCATTGTACAAAGCAAAACGTCTACATGCATAAGGAGATTATAATATTTCATCATTGTTGAGTGCCATGCTCTAAATTCAGGTACCTGCAGTCAAGGTCGAGATTACCAAAGAGGTCAAAGTTCAAATAAAAATATGAAGAACTGAATAGAGACCATTAAGTCATTATTCATTGATGGATTGTAACACAAATGGTAAGTATCGTGTCTACAGGTGTGACACTTGTAATTTAGGTTAATGCTTGCAAGGTGAAGGTCACTAAAGATGATTAGATATCATACATATTGTCCAGAGCATATTTCTTCATGCATGTAGGAATTTAATGCTACTTCATTGAATTGTTCAATGCAATGAGACATAGTGCCCTGTCCATGAACCATGTCTCTAGGTCAAAAGTCAAGGTCACATGTAGATTTCTTTGAAAAACGGTTGTCCAGAGCAAAACATGTATAAATATTATGTATATTTTTTAATATTTATGTGTTTTTATTTTTATTTCCAGGAAGTACCAAAATAAAGCAGTTTATCATTCCTGGATGAATGTTACCAACTAGTCTTTTAGAAAATCATTTCTCAATTGAAAATATATTATTTCATATTCGAAGTAAAAATGTGTTGTTATTTGCAAGTTTTTGACGGTTATAATGTTATCATTTTTTATCGTAATAATTACAAGAGGCTTTTAATAGGGGAAGTAGAGGCTAATTTAAATATATTCAAGAGGAAAGGAAGTTATTACCCAAGTGTGGTCTTTTTAACACAACTTGTTTCTGATTAACCCTTTCCCTGCCATAGGGACGGCTTAAGCCGTCCCTGTTGTTTTCGGCGTATTTGCCATATGGACGGCTATTGCCGTTTCTTTAATGATTATAGTAATAATAATAAATTAATAATAATAAAAATAATAATAAATATAAAGAAAATTATACCATCAACAATAATTATTATTATACTTAGCCTAGCAGATTTGGAAACATATATAATTATTATAATACTAATAACAAATAATAATAACTATATTAATTAATAATATAGTAATTTCTTAGAAAACCCTCTGGCAAATAGGTGAACAATAAAACAATAACCCTCTGGCAGCGAAAGGGTTAAAAAAAACTATAATAAAATTCTTGTTGGCCCTACTCATTTACAGTTTCTATTCAAGTTGATACAAATTACATTCAGATAAAAAAAAACGTGCATGAGTTAATAGATCGTTCATAATACACGTTGATTATTGTGATGCTAATCGTAACCATAAGCTACATATCTTTTTATCCGTGACATCAAGGCAAAAAACGAAGTGACACATTTAAAGGAGACCTTTGCTACCTTTGAAATGCATTGGTGTGTAACTCTCTCGTGAAGTCTTCTTTTTAATGTCTCCGCTCTTTTAATTAAAGTAAAAATTGCACTAAACACGGATTTTAAAATGAATCTATTAAACATACAAAAAACGTGTGAAACCTGAAAAACGACTTTCATTTAATGTTCTGTCACACATGTAAAATTGTTCATCACCCCAGTGTTTAATCTTTTTATTTCAGGTGTCGGAAATTTGTTCAAGATGCAGGTCAGGTACGAGAAGCACAAATTGTATTCGATTATCACATTAACCTTGAATTAATATTGATCTGCAATTATGTAAAAACATTTGATAAAAAGATTGTTTTTTTCTGTAATAGATTTTTAAATATAGTATTAATGTATATAGATCTATTATTTATTATGTGAATTTTATTTCCATAACATCTTCAAACAATGATTTCATGACCAGTGTTTTTCATTGTCAAACATGTTATCTTTGCAAAAGTAAAT